CTCATGTGTCTCATAGTGATGAATGTCTTGTCAATGCTTATGATTTTCATAGAACTTAATGACTTTTGATATGTATCTCTATCATACGTTTCATATAGGGAACTTGAGAAAGATAATTTGGTTGTAATGCGTATTCATTCAATTCAATGAAATAAGGAAAATCTGATGGTTGGTTGTGCGATGCAATTAACTTGGGGCACTGTCATTCATGGTTTAAAGGAATAATAACTGGAAATCAATTTGTATGCATGTGTGTCATGTGTGGAGAAGGACCCTCTAGCTAGCTTATCACCCATAGTTTTCCCTAATTTCGTCCAAAGTTGTTTAAGTCTTTAAATTTGTTTGTTTTTAATTTAATTTCATCCAAATCAATCTCCCCTTTAATTAAGTGTGTTAGATTAGTTAGAAATGTGTTCAAATCTGTCCAATTTAGTGTTTTGAGTCTTAATAGTCTAAAATTCGTCCAAGTAACTTCTTAGAGTCTGTTTCGAGTCAATTTAACTTAGTTTGTGTGTTTTGAGTCTTTTTAGTTTGTTTTGAGTCATATAAGTCTAGTTAAGTGTTTTTAAGTTTTGTTTTGTATTTTTAAGTCAGTTTAGAGTAGATTAGCATCCCTTCTAATCCCCAGTCTAAAACGATCAATGTTTTCATATACTACAATCATAGGGTTTTAATTTGAGTGTTAGAATATTTCACATCACTTTGTCTCGTTAACGACAATAAAGTTGGGATTTTCAGTGTTACTCTCGGTTTCAGGCGTTTTCTGCATGATCAAATAGAGAAATTTGAGTACCTTCTGGTTTAAAGTTCGGTAAAATTTGTAATTAATCAGAAGCCAACATGGTAATTCAGGGTTTCACGCTCTAGAGAAAACATTCGACGTCATACACAGACACGATATTGTAATTGGAATGCGACGGACCCTCGAGGTGGGCCACACAAAACTTGTCTTTAATTTTTGACGGCAACAATTCTTTAATCTGGTTGAGGTCAAAACTAACCCAAAAAACAGAATCCATCGCCAATAAACAAAAAAAAAATTGTGGTTTTTCATTAAAGTAAACAATACCATAGTTTTTTCGTTAAAATTTCATATTTTTTATCCATAAGGGCAAGCCTTATGACAGAACTTAGGAGTACATGTGTGGCTTTGGATACACTAATCATCATGGAGCTTTGTTAGCTAATTTCCAAGTTAGGTCTATCTTGGTGGATCAAATCCGAAATGCTCAGGTGAATGATCCAGAGTGTTTGGAGTTGATGCAACCAATACTGAACGACGTTTAAAGAAAGTTACAATATTTACAAATGATATTTTACATTAATCTTCTCTGAGCAACCAAATTCTTTTTTATTATTATCATCATCATATTAAGACCTTGAGGAAATCACATTTTGATTGGTTTTGCGGTTCTTTTGTTATATATTTTTTTTTTCAAAACTTGATTTTGTATTATAAATAATTAGCTTAATTGTTTCTTATATTAAGTCGGGTCGGGTCGAATAATAATTGGACTATCAGATTGAGAATCTTACCAACTCGTACTAAATTAGTTTCGGGATCAAAAATATAATCCATTAATTAACAGATCTTGGGAAAATTCTTTTGGAGCCGCATGATTCAAAGAGAAAGTAATTACATTTGAGGGTATTGTATTCAAGTTCTTGTTAATTTCGCACCATGTGCGAGTCATCATAATATATATATATTGAACAAACCATATTATCTACGTTAAAGAGGTGGAGGAGTGAGCTAAACCTTCCAATGAGCTAGTAATGATGTGGAATAGCAACAATGTGCGAGTCATTATAAATTCATTCACAAAACACAAAGAAGAATATGTTTGAAATTCTCATAGAGAATTTGTTTCAAGTTAAAATGTGATGAAGAATACCAATCATGTACTCTTCATGATAGAGTCTAAGGCTAGCTCTAACTTCTAAGCAATCTTCTTAAAGAGTTGAAAAATTAATATGCATTCTGCCTCAGTAGTAGATCTACGGTTGAATAATATAATCAATTCCATGTCTTCATTGATGATAGCCTAAGCAGTTGGACGAGATCAACGCATTACCTATATATCACAAGAACAATAATATAATATCAATTACATAGTAGAAAAGAAACTAAGAAGCTTTAGAATGTTTATGAATGTGAAAATATATAGCTAAGAATGCAGAAACTAAAAAAATTTGTACTCCTGATTATTACAACACTAGTCTTGAAACGACATGTATTTATCAAATGACGCCAGGAGTTCCCCCAAACACTTCAGTAGGAATACATAAGAAGACAATTGTTCGAAGCCATATCGGAGAGGGAGATTAATCTCACCTCCCAATGAAGTGTTCAAGGGAACTCTAGGAGACACCTGATTTCTTTGTTGATGTTTAGCTTGATTAGATGATGAGGTAATGTCAACAGCGTCTATATATATATATGGCGGTCGACCGATGATCATAGTTGTGTAGTACTCTTCGGATTCAATCCAATGGGAAAAAATTATGTGGGGATAAAGTTGTAGGCGGTGAACCTAGACTGCTATGTGGGATAAATACAGAGTAGAGAATAATATCTTAGTCGTAGTAAAGTGGGCTTTAAGATTTTAATTACAGTGGAGTTGCAGGGTTCTCTTCTAGTGATCAAAAGCTGGCCAAGTTGCAGTGCCAAAGGCCAATGTGAGAAAAGTATCCGCATGCCCCCACACCTATGTATATATCGCGATCATCCTTTAAAACTCGATAAGCCAAATTAAGTTAAACTATGCAACTCTTAGCTTGTAAACATGTTTATAGTTGCGTAGCTTAACTTCCAATCCTTTAATAATATGGGTAAAAAGGAAAAATATATATGGTTGTTTTATTTAGCAGAATGAGAATATTTGCAACATATGGAGCCCTCACCCCCCACCCTCCTCCTCCTCAAATATCTTTCTTCATATATGAACTTTCATATATCTGATTCTAACCCACAATTGTGACCAGATACAATTGCTGTGGCCCAAATTCCATTTATGTAAATTTCTCTCATCTCAACTTTGGTATTTCATTTCTGGGAACCATGACAAGTGAAAACTGAGAAGCTATAATATCATTGATTATAAATATGGTATGCATGTTGGTATACTACTCACCCAGCTAGAAACCAAATTAAGCAAGTGAAGTCAGTTGTCCCCTGGAGTTTCCCTGACCACTTCATTGGGATGAATCTTCCAAAAACCCAACAGTTCAACTGAAGGTGAAATTCCATGCATCACACTAAAGTGTTTGGGAGAACTCCGGTTGCCATCTGGCATGACCTCTAGCTGATCATCGTATGCGTCCAGGTCGGAACTGTATATTCCTTGATGAATATCTGGTTAACTCAGCAATTGTTAAAGTCCCACATCGGTGGGTTCAAAGAAACTCAATGGGTCTAAATAGAATTACTCTACTCTAACTAATACCAAGATCTTTTATGGTAAAACCCTACATCTGATGGATTAGGCAGGTGGTAAAGTTAGTGTTAGTATTGGTGTCGTTAGAGTGGGACGGGCGGGCCCGGCGATCCAAAAATTCAACATGATATCAGAGCCACAGTGCGGGCCCATGCAAGACCCATAAAGAAACAAGTACGAACTCTTAATATAGAGACGACCTGCTGAGTTCCATTAAAAACAAGTGGGCCCAACATGAGCCGATCTCTGAGTTTCAATTACCGATGTAGATCTCCACGTGTGAACCACTAAATGGGGTTACACGGGGGAGTGTTAAAGTCCCATATATGTGGGTTCAAATAAACCCAATGAGTTTAAATAGAATTACCCTAATACCGAGACCTCGTTAGAATGAGGTGAGTGCAGCGATCCAAAAATCCAACAGCAATTGTATTGCAACCTCCGTCTTGCTACTCAATCTATATCATTTCCAGGTGAAGTCGAAACAAATAATGATGAGATCATGCATGGGTGAGGGGAGCTTCCTCAATTTGGAAAGCTTTTTTTTATCTAAAGTTGTAACTTAATAACTCTTTTTTCCCGGATAAGCGGCTGAAACTCAGTCACTTTAATTAATATGCTGATCAGACCGAAAGTGCAGCTTGCAAATGTCATATACGATTTTTGAACTAATAATTTAGGGTGGTGATATTTAAACCCAACTTTTTTCCTAACAATACGTAGCCTTTCATCGATGTTTAGTTTTCCAAGTTTACCGTATATTGTGGCAGTAAAAGACTAAAAGAGTACTCTAGGAATATGGTAAAATTCACTGAAAGACATGAGTATACGATGTTTTCCAAGTAAACATGAGTGAATGGAATTATTCTAAATTTAGGCATTTATATTAGGTGACTGAGAGTATGTGTGGCGAAGTTGAAATTTTACAAAAATCAATTAGACGGAGGTCCAATATCGCTTAAACTATCATATATATTATATAGAACTAATTTGCAATGGTGTCGTTTTTGATAATCTACGTATATAGAAAAGTCAATAGCTATGGTAGCATGTTGGAGTTCTAAAGGGGGTACTTTTGGTAACATGAGTTGGGTATAGTTAGGATTTGGTAGCTTTTCAATAAAAAAGTTGGGCATAGATAGGACCATAGAAGGTTTGGCATGCACTAAGGAAAAGTAGGGTTTAAGTAGAGACGGCACCCAATAATTTAATGTTCCAAGAGTAACAGCTAGCTGAAAACAATGCAACCGTGAATCGTGAACGTTACGTACAAATTGGTTCATATACCTTATATTTATACACACACACCATGCCTAGCTAACCAAAGAGAAGAAACCATACTGTCACCATCGATGGCTTACATGGAAAATCTGAAATGTCACTACACCATGAAAATGTTAATCATGCTATTGTGTTTGTTTACAGTTCTTGATACCACAAATGCCATTGTAAGTACTAACTAATTATGTATGAAGCTTTAGTTATGCATGCATAATAATTAGTTAATTAGTATATGTGATGTATAGTTTGTTCTGAATTTTTATATGTTTTGATCAGTGATTAAATCATGGAGGTGATATTGGCAACAGAAGGAATTCTGTCGGGGAAGTGCTAATCAACCCTAGGACAGTGCAAAACATGAGGTTGAGATGGTCTTTTTTCGCCGGTAGAGACATATCAGCGACGCCTGCAGTGGCTGATGGAAGGGTTTATTTTCCGTCATGGAACGGAAATGTGTATGCTGTGGATGCATTCACTGGTCGTTTAATATGGCAGCAGAATCTTGGTAAGTTAACTGGACTCAATGGAACAGGAGTCGTTTCGAATGTGAATGCCACAGTTTCAAGAGCAACCCCATCAATAGCTGGAAACCTATTGATCGTCGGAATTTATGGACCTGCTGTTGTGATTGCCCTGGATCGATCCAATGGAAGGCTTGTGTGGTCAACTGAACTTGATCCACGTCCAAGAGTCCTCATCACCATGTCTGGAACCGTACACTTAGGGTTAGTGCAAGCACTCAAATATGTTATACGTACCATTTGTGTACGTCCATATTTCGTTCAGAGTTAGATACCTAACTGCTTTTCGAATTTGATGAATTTTGTAGTGACGATCTTTCGAAGGTGACCTAGAATATAAACAGTTCTAATTATAAAAAAAATATTGTTTAGTGGACTCAAATGAGTAATTAGCGTCGTATTAACTTATCTTAGCTAAGTCTGGCACTTTAATGTATATTTTAATTTTGCAGTGCATTTTATGTTGGTGTGTCGTCTTTGCAAGAAGCGTTACCAGCAGCACAATGTTGTAATTTCCGAGGAAGCCTAGCGAAGCTCAGCCTTACAACCGGGTCGGTCTTATGGCGGACTTATATGCTACCGGACAATGGCGGTAGCTTGGGAGGTTACTCGGGAGCTGCCATATGGGGAAGCAGCCCGGCTATCGATATATCCAGAAGACACGTATATGTGGCTACTGGGAACCTCTACACAGCTCCACCTGAGGTGACTGAATGCCAAGAGAGGCAGAATAACCAAACAGGAAAACCTACCCAGCCTGATCAGTGCTTTGGTCCAGATATCAACTTTAATTCGATTCTGGCTTTGGACCTTGATTCCGGGAGGATTGTATGGTCTAGGCAACTGGGTGGATATGATATTTTCTATTTTGCTTGTTTGGTACCGAACAACCCTGACTGCCCGCCGGGACCTAACGTGGACGCCGACTTTGGAGAGGCGCCCATGCTGCTCACCATACGCCCTAACGGAACAAGACGCGCGCTGGATGTCGTGGTGGCAGTACAGAAAAGCGGGTTTGCGTGGGCACTAAACCGTGACGATGGAAGTATAGTCTGGCTTAAGGTAAAATGAGCAGCTAAGGGAATCAGGTTTTGTGTTTAAAATTACTAATTGCTTATGTCCAGTTCAGTGTGGAATGCAGAAAGGCTAATCAATTCGCTGAATTTTGTAGTTGGCCGGACCGGGTGGCAATGAGGGAGGAGGGATATGGGGTGCAGCCACAGATGGTAGAAGGGTATACACAAACATTGCCAACGGCGACCGACAGAACTTCACTCTCGCACCTTCAACCCAGACGACAACAGCCGGAGTATGGGTGGCTCTTGATGCAGATACAGGGAATATCTTGTGGACAACTGCAAACCCTAGCAACGATACTTCCCAGGCACCTGTGACAGTCGCTAATGGTGTTGTTTTTGCTGGGTCTGTAGCTTCCAACGGTCCCGTATATGGCATGGATGCGAGCACTGGAAAAATTTTGTGGACGTATAACACTGGTGCTACGATATATGGGGGTATTTCGGCAAGCTACGGGTGTATTTACTTCGGAAGTGGGTACTCAGTTGGCCTGGCCACGTTTCACCCTTCTTGGACGGCTGGGACTACATTGTTCGCTTTCTGCGTTGTATGAGGGAAACCTCTTTCTGAAGACATCGTAGGAATCGGAACAGTTTACTGTGCTTCAGATCGAGGCTTGAGTCAAGGTGCAAAATATTGCACTTCAACATCTGAGAAAAAAGTTAAATAACAGTAATAAAAATAACTGCAAAAGCGATGGACTTTTTAGTAACTAAGACTGTAAACATCGTAACTGCGAATTTGGTAGCAAAGTATCCATTTCCAGTAAAAAAACCCAAGTATTAACAAGCAAAGGAGAATCCCAGACTCGAACTCTTGTCTCTCGCATTTTTACATAATTCGATGATCAGACAGAATATCACAAACATCTCAAGCCCGAAACAAAGTATCCAAACCGTAAAATAACCCCTATTGGTAAGTAAGAGAACAAACTTAATCGACAAGCACAACACTGATTACTCAACACATCGATCTTGAATTCAACCTATAACTAAGTCACAGCAACAACAAAACCTGAAACTGCAAATGGGTTGGTGTTTTTCTCTTTACCTGACCTTGATACATTTCCATGGAACAATACCTCGCCCGAAATCACCTCCTCCACTCTGGTTGGATTGCCTTATCTGAAATTCATGTTAGCCACAATAAAGGACAATTAGAATGCATACCACATATTTCAACCTGATCCAAAGACACCAAGACAAAATGATCAATAAGGAAACAAGAAAAAAATCAACACACAAAAATTAGCAAGTCATGAATAAATTCAGCATAGCCTTCTCTGAGCCTAGAAGGAAAGTTGTATAAATGTGATTGCGTCAATATCCCAACTTTCACTAGAATGAGCACGCAAATGCTTGAAAAGATGGGATGTTGTGTTTAAAGTATAGATGGATGGACGCATGTGCAAGAGAGTTTCGAGGGGCATGGGAGAATGGAAATGAAGTAAATCAGTGTAAATCAGACAAGCAATTGAAAAGCACATAGAGAATTTCACAGCTTACCAAAACCATCCCTTGAAGACGATAAAGATCTGTCACTTCTGATTACACCTTTGCCAGCTTGAACCAGTCCGTGTGCCCGTGGGGAAGGAGAACTAAACTTAGTGTTGGTGGAAGCAGACAAAGAATGCCGCCTGGTAATGACATTCTTCTCAACAATATCTTGGTCAAACTTAGGGGAGCCCTGTCCTCTCAGCCTAGCTTTTGCTGATGCAGTTGGTGCCATATAACTCGGGACTCTTGGTGAGTTATGAACCCCATTCTCCTGTTGATCAAACTTCATAGGTAGAGAAGCCCTTCTCTGGCTGGTTTTCTTATCCTCATTCCCAATAATGTGATCCCTCGAGTTTGGCACCTGATTTATTGCTTCAATTCCTTCACTTGTCCCAGCATTCTCCATGGGTTGTAGTATGTCACCAGAAGGATGGTCATCTAACTTTTCCATTGGTTCATCTGCTGAAGGCAGTTCCAAACTTCCTTCTAGATCGGACTGTTTTGACACAGCAACTGCCAAATTTTCCATTTTCTCAGAAATTTCACTAGTGCCTTGCTCTGAATCATCAGGAGCAGCAGAAGCCAAACTCTTCATGGTACTGTGCTTTGGTCTCTCATCACCAACTAACGACCGATCAGAAACCTCCTTATTGGTATCAGAAGATTTTCTTACATTATTTTTAACCTTTACGACTTCAGAAGGGCTAGAAGCTTTCCTTAAATTGCGTTTAGTCTTTTCAGAATCGGGGGTGACACGTTTTGACCCGTTTTCAACATTTGTCCTGGACAGTGTCTGTACACTTCTTTTTGGTCTGGCCTTTTCAGTCTCTATTGTTTGACCCTTCTCATGCTTCCTACGAGACCTTGAATCAGGGTTTTTCTTTGGTTGTACAACGGGTTCCCAAAAGCATGACCTGGTCCAGCGCTCAAGCCACACCCAGGACGAGTTAGGCTCCCCTGGACCATACTCCAGACGTAGAGGAATAGTAGTATGCAATGAAGCCAAAAGCTGAAAATGAAAATAATAATCAAACAAGCAGTTTCTATTTCGGGCAATCAAATTCTGACTTTGGCCCAGCAGTAAAAGAGACAAAAGGGTGCAGGAACAGATCATTTATCATGTTTCCCTTTCTAAGATCAGCACCTAAGGTTTTACTCAGTTTTCAAAACTCGTTTTTGAAGCCATAAGTAGCATGTCTCTCCGCATAGGTTTAACAGAACCTCATTACAACTTACAAGTAATACAATCATATAAACACCAGACTATTCGCTGTATACCAAGGTGGGCTGACAATAGCGAGAAGGAAAAGTCCTCTCTGATAGATTGTGTTACTTTGTAAACTTAAGCTAATTTCAGTTGCATGATCCAAAGAAATAAATCTTTAATGACATAAATAACCATATGTTGGGCAGTAGTAAAGTAAATCTCACCTTCTGAACAAAAACAATTTTGGACAGCCTCTCCACCTGGGAAGATGTGCTTACTCCAGATAAATTAAAACATTTAGCACCCTGATTCATAACAAAAAAAAATATCGGCATATAAGTGGCAACAAAAGTTTAGGAATGAAAGGATATACACATATCTTGGTTGAAAAAGCATGAATCTATAACCTCAGGTTCAATGCATGAGCCAATTGAAAAAGTAAGCAGAAAGTACCAGATGAGTTTTACACACCTCAACCAAGATATAAGAATGTCTAGCAAGTTGACCACGAATCAGAGCCTGAAACTTAACAATCCCCTGGACAGATAATAATGTGGATATAGCTTGTCTTCTAACCAAGTGACCACGAATAAGTGCTTGCAGCCTCACGATTCCCTTAAGAGTCCGATATGCACGGCGAGCCTTCAAATTTTAAAGATAATTAGTTTCCATCAGTAGTTGGAAGGTTGGCCAAAAATATTCTCCAGATACTAAAGTCATCTCACAGAAGTACAATAGAAAATGCGAAGAAATATTATCAACCATAACTTTTAAACAAAAGCAGAACATCAATGGGAAGGAAAGAAAGTACCACATAGCTCCTATAAGCACTTTGCACCCTTGTGGCAGCTTGCTCTTGCTTGATTGTCTCAAGATCTTCCTGAGAAGTCGAACTCAAGATAACTTGTGCTTGGCCATCGTCTTTCGTAGATGACATTATAACCCCATCATTCGGCAATTTTTCAGCCACTGTTATCTCTGAACCCACTTCATTACTAGCAACAGTCCCAATCAGTGGTGGTGATATAACTGGAGCGCTCACAGTTAACTCCGACACAGATAACTTTGATGAGAACAATGACTCCCCTTTATTTGTAGATTTCTGTAAAACCAGAATAACATCATAAGTTGTAAAATTAGAACTTATTAACTTAATAATGACCAACAAGATGAAAGAAAATTAACATATAGGTTCCATGTATGCAAAAATTATACAAATAGCCAAATCAAAGTAATATTCAAGAATAAAAATCCAAGTATTTAATAGGAAATGCGAGCGTCCAGTGTAAACATCTCTTCCCATTTATGATATGAGATAATAAATCACTTTCCGGAAGAAAAAAGCGATATAGCAGAATAACTCACGCAGTCACTCTCCAAATTTGGTGAACCATTCACAACATGATTGAGAGGGAAAAAAAAAAAAAAAAAAGTCTACCAATGAACGAGTTACACAACCCAACCATGGTAAACTTCGGGTCTGGTCTCGTCAAGCTCATACTTGACAATTGCAATTGACAGAATTTTCTTTTCTCCTATTCCTAGGTTAACTTGACAAGCATATAATATTTTGTGTTTTTTTTTTTAAGGGAATCGTTATTAACCCTCCAAAAATATCATTCTACACTCCAAACTTTCTATATTAGAAAAGAAAAATACACTTGTGAGGAGTGTAGAATGAGATTTTTGGAGTGCCAATAACAGTTCCCTTTTTTAACCCCTTTCTATTTAACCGACATACGAATTGATTTTCAAACCAATGTGCACCGTAGTAATACCTCTCTTCCTTTGGAAAAAGTAGACTTGGATGATTTCTTCCCAAGAAGCAAATTCTTGATCCATTTCCCGGGGGTTTTTCCCATTGCAAAAAGTTAAATGCAGCCCGCAAATGCTTAATGCGCAGAACCCTGCAGTTATACACACAAGATGAGCCATGGCAGTACCTAATTACCAGCTGAAATTTGTAAAGATTAACCGAAAACCTATATCACTGAACCCATTTGAAAACAGAAAAATAGGGTTCTAAATAACATGGTCTGCTCAGCTGAAATATTACAGTAAGAGTAATTTGCATCCAATAAGACCATGGAATTGAAAGCTATGCGAACAAAAATTCAAAGCCCTAAAATCTCAATTTAAAAAAGAAAATGTAACAAAAACAAATACACAAAAATGCTGAAACGGAAACAACGAAAATAATGGAACAAAAATTAAAATGCGATAAAATGTAAGGTTGGAATAGAAAATATGAACCATTTGGGGGAAAACAAAAAATTCAAATCTATCGAAAGATCGAGGCCGTTCGAAAGAAGAGTACCACAAACTGGAGAAGGAGAAGGCGAAGACGAAGAGGGAGTAGTACGGCGACGTTTCGGGTCTGCTGCTCTACTGGCCGGCGACTGTGGGGGTGAGCTCCCTCTGGTTTTTCACTGTTGAAATTTCACCTGAAAAAGTTGCAAAATTAGAAACTGAAAAGTAATTAGGCGACGTGTAGAAATGGAAATAATATTCCTGAAACGAGGTGGGGAAACGACAGCGTTTGTGGTGGGTTCGCTTTGTTTGTTCGGAATGTGGACCTAGCCCAATTTTTTAGTTGACCCAAAGAAGGCAAGCAACCGGCCCAAATTGGTTTGTTTTTTTTTTTTTTCTTGAAGGAAGTCCAAACATGTGTGATGTCTCTCAAGTATGATTGATTGGAGATCCAGTGTGTCGGGAACATAGTTGGTAAATCAAGTATCATAATGCAATTGATTATAAATTTTTATTTTTCGAGTTTCTAACCAATTATATTATAACACTTTGATGTATCAGACTGTATTTTGACACACTAAGAAATCTCTCGATTGATTGAAGGAAGGAGTAGTTGTTGCAATTAAGGTGACAATAAATATGAAGACAATTATACTAAAGGGAGAAAAAACATTGGCCAGTCTCACAAAGGAATAGAATTTGAATTTGAGTATAAATTTACTTGACGTAAGTACAATTTCTTGCACACGAATATCTTTTATGAGAGTGGTCTAGCAAGCTGGCTATCATATTGAATACATTCACCTAATAAAAGAATGAGTCTTAATGCATGGGCGCATGATTCACGACTTGTTCAATGAGCATCTAGGCACGACTGATATTAACACAATTCTTTCAATAATTGCAATGTTGGATCAATGGAATAAAACTTATTGTAATTCCTCATGCAACTTCTTTTGGTTTGGCATTGCATGAGCGATGAGTCAAAAAACAACCCATAATTTTCACTTAAAATGTATGGAATATTAGGTATCCAATTTAATGGAATCTTTCACCCAAAAAATCGAATATTGTCGCACCAAGTTGTTTAAACATTAACACATAAATTTACATTGAATTCAAAGGCTGAATAGCTTTATGAGATATGCTAAGGAGATTCTATCAAAAAGTGAGACTTTTCATAAACTCTCTGTCACTTCAAGTTTTCGGGACAATATTTTATGATATTGAAATGCACATTGGGTTAAAATGTGAGGTCGCAAAGGATTCATAGAGAACAGTGGCAAGGCCAAGATATTAGCCTAGAAGAACCCCAAAAGTCTCAATCTGAAACGCTATCGGAATCTTAGTTGTGTGGTGAGTACCGATCACCGTCGTTTGGATTTGCAATGGTACCATCCTCATCATCCTCTTCCTTAAACCTAAACCCTATGCCTCTCTGACTTTTTTCCTTTCTCCTTCCTCCTCAAAGCTCACAAGTAACAAATTGCTTGAAGTTCATAAGAGCCACCAATCTCAAATCAAACCCGAAAAACAAAATTAAACTAAAAACCTTTGTAAGCATATAACACTACTAAACATTTATGCGTGAAAAAAAAAATATCAAGATGAGTCTGTGACTATTGTGGTTCGTTCATGGCGCCATCTATAATAGAGAATCTCACTTTAAAAAAATTTTCTTTTAACATTTCTTGTAGCTTTACTTCCATCCAGATATTGAAGAGATGCGAACAAGTAGTCGTTTTCGCAAATTGCAAACAAATCTTTCAGCTTTGTTGTGTCCAATAGAAAGAACAAAACACTTAAACACAGATATATAAAAGCAAGTGTCAGGCTGGCTGGAACGAGCTGCCAGCCACCCCGCATCCCAGTGAATTATTAATCACTATAATCCACTGATAAAAAGGATTAGGTGGAGCTAATACCTTAATTAATCAAATCATCCACCCTCTCTTATTCGTACACACACCGACAGCCTCACACAAAACGACGCACACATATTTGTCATCGGAGTTAATATCTGGATGCAATGACCTGCAAGCCTAATTATTTTCCATTGACGTCGATGCGGTTCGGGTCATGCAAAATCATAAATGTACATATTTTTCTAGCTACTGATTTGCATCGGTAGAAAATGACTTGTGGTCCTTTTCGTTCACTGAAATCATTTCTCGGATTGATTGAGATTACTGCTGGCACTACTTTAGTGCTAGTGGATTTCATTTGCAAGTTTAAATTTTAAATTCGACTTACGTTAATGAGTATTTAATTATTATGTCGGACTGATTGTTTGTTCTCTTCTAAAGATAAATGTAAGAATAAACTCACCTCAAAGCGACACCATTAATAATAGTAGCACAATTAAGTATGAAATGCACCCTTTGAGGTGAATCCATGAGATTTTCTACAACCACCTTAACCCTAGACTAAAGATTTGCGTGTTTTGTTGTGTTTGACATAAAAGTAAAAATAATAAAATACATTTGGATCATATAAGCGTTTTCTAAATAGGACATGAGTCATCTCAGGAATCATGTATCATAATCCACCAAATCTATGTATCTGGACCATTAAAATTTGATTCAACGACTAAAGTTATTATAACTTTTAAAATGGGCTCATGTTTGTAACCGTTTGATTAATTTTCAATAGTCTGAATGCATGAATTTAGTAGATTATGATACATGAATCCAGAGATGACCCATGTCCTTCTAAATAAACTCGTGTCATGAATATTTTTAATAAAATTTCAATTAATGTTTATTACCATTCCTCGTAAACATTTTAACATGTTTGTTTGTTGGTGAACAATTTTAGGTGAAAAGTGAAAATCAAAAGGTCTCGTGATTTCATTCATCATGAGTTTGAAAAGAAGAAGAAATAGAAAAAGGCCACGTGGCCACGGCTCTCCGGTAAGTAAGTTTACCATAATGAGAAATGCAACGGTTCCTTTATAAAAGGGCAAAATAGACATAAAAAAGATCAGTTGAACCTAAACTGATATGACACATGGAATTGGACTCAATTGGAAAGTAGCTCAATTTTTTGGACTCAAATCTAAATGCCCCTATATTTTTTTATATAATATTTTATAATATTAACATAAAAATTGATGTTAAATTCTGAAGTAACAAAAAATCTATAAATAATCTTAATTTGAGAGAGTTTCTTAGATCATTTCCAAATGAAATGTCAAATTTTAAACCTACAATTTAAATTTGAAGGCTTACATGCCATTTTGACATCTTTTAAACTTTTGCTCTCTAACCAATAGGTCAAATTTTAAACATAAAATAATAATTCATGTACTTTCTTTGCATTGGAAATGAAAAGAAACAAAAGGATAATGCTTTAAACTAATAAAAAATTAATAAAAAGCATTTAATAAGTAATTAAAAAAAAATCTGAAGGTGTTGTCAAATTTGGCAACAATGAGAAGAGATATCAATGCATGTCATACTACATCAGATTTAACTTCTCAGTTAGAAAACATTAATGATATCTTTTGTTACTATTATTACTGATTTGGACAATTTAACCTCTCATTTGAAGATGCTCTAACAATTCTTTTACCATAATAAACGTGGTCAACAACATCGAGCTTATCGCAAATCGCAAGCGTTTGAATCACCGACAAGTTGACTTCATTTATAATTTAATCCCCAACAAACAAAACAGTGCAGAATGGTAGAAAATTACAAACTTCGAAACAACCATTTGCTACTTAAAATACTAGTTCGCGTAGCGGAGGATCGGGATGGGCTTTGTTCAAGAAACTTGTCTACATCGCTTTCGTTAGTATGTCGGAATTTCAAATTAATAATGTATTTTATATGAAAATAAACATGTAAAAAATAAATTCGTGGTGTTCTGTCCAATAATCCAAAATTATCCGAAGACAAATTTGTACAACTATAATAAGTGACGTTGTATTATTGAACCGCAACGCATACCTTATTCGGAAACCATTCTGTGCAGGTTCTCACTGCAGATGGGTTGTCTTGCATTGTCGCTTTGCACTTGAACTGGACCGACTCCACTAAGTACCGTGCGATTCTTGCGTTGCTCCACTTCAACAACTCTGCAATTTTAGTCTCTTCAGATCTTTCATTCCCTCCACAACAATGGCTTCCCCTCCTTTCTGTTGAAATTCCAGTTTTTCTCTCACTTCGAACTGTAAAATCTTTTCTTGTCACCTCACCTCACCTCACCTTACCAAACCAAGATCTTTCTGCTCATTACCTGCTTCCTTCTTTCTGCAGTATACTGAATTTAACGGCTGGACGTGCGCTCAAGAATTTAGCGGAGTTTAACAGTTGAATCTGAGCCACGGAACAACTTGGACTAACTAGCTTTTCTGGGTTAATCTCATTTTCTTCAAAAAATGAAGAACTTCTGGGTTCCTCTCTGTTTCTTGTTTCTCACTCTATCCATTTCTCCTCCAGTCTCAACCGCTCAGCTCACTCCGACCGAAGTTCGAATCCTCTTCCAAGTGCGGAAGCTTCTCGAATACCCCGAAGCTCTTCGGGGATGGACGAACTGGACCAACTTCTGCTTCCTCCCTCCCTCCCCCTCCCTCACAATCGTCTGTACAAACAACCGCCTAACCGAATTGACTGTCATCGGAAACAAAACTAAAACCTCCCCTCCAAAACAGAGCACTCTGTCCAAATCCTTCTCCATCGACTCTTTCTTCACCATGCTCACCAAGCTCTCCAACCTCAAATCCCTCTCATTGGTCTCCCTCGGCCTGTGGGGCCCGCTTCCGCCGAAGATCAACCGGTTCTGGTCGCTCGAAACGCTCAACCTCAGCTCCAACTCCATCTCCGGCGAGATTCCGGCTTCTCTTGGCTCGATCAAGAATCTCACGAGCATAAATTTGGCTGACAATTTCCTCAACGGAAGCGTTCCGGATCTCGGACCCCTAACATTTCTCCAAGAAATCAACCTCGGAAATAACAAGTTGGGTCCTGGATTTCCCTCGTTGGGAAACAGTATTCAAATCATCGTTCTCAGAAACAACTCCATGAGATCTGAGATTTCGACTGGACTGAATAACTTCGATCAGCTGACGGAACTGGACATCTCCTACAACAGGTTTGTGGGTCCCATACCATCTTTCCTCTTCTCGCTGCCCTCCATTCAATTCATCAATCTCTCCCAGAACCAGCTCACTGGGGCTCTGTCCACCAACGCAACCTGCGGCAAAAACCTCAGAGTTTTAGACATTTCCCAGAATTTGCTGATTGGGAAGCTGCCCACCTGCGTCGGGTCGAACTCGAAGGCGTCAAACAGGACGGTTCTGGATTCGTGGAACTGTTTGTCGAGTGGGAACTCGAAGTACCAGCATCCGTATGCCTTCTGCCACAGGGAAGCTCTGGCCGTGAAGCCGCCGGCTGAAACTGCGGGGAAGAAGGAGGAGAACAGAATAAAGCTGGGTGTGTTGCTGGGTGTGATTGCCGGCATTGTGGGTGTTGCTGGTGGTGTTGGGTTGCTGATTGTGGTGATTGTCAAAAGGGCAGGGGAGAGGAGCACAGAGGATCGATTTGACAGATCCAAGGTGGAGAAAATCTCAGTCAGAAGCTCCCCAAAGCGTAATGTCAATGCAAGTAAGTGGCTGTAGAGTGAAAAGTCTCTGACTTTATTGCCTGAAAAAATTAAATCAAAGTAAAAAGTGATTAATATTTGCATTTGGGTTTTTTAGGGCGTGTGCCCCAGTTGATGAGGCTGCCAACACTCGGGCTCCCCCCGTATCAAGTTTTCACGCTCGAAGAAATCGATGATGCAACAAACAATTTCGACACTGCGAATTTGATCACGGAAGGACCTCAAGGACAGGTATTGCATTGAATTTGAACTTGTTTGTTATTCATTTAGGACAATATCAGTATCACATGGATGCACGTAGGTTATTAAATAAAAGAACGAACGTCATGTACAGTGAATTTCTTTTGAAACGAGATATTGCATTATGCATCATTAACAGGTGTACAAGGGGTGGCTGAGAGATGGTTCACAAGTGCAAGTGAAATGTGTGAAGTTAAAGCAGAAGCAGTTGCCACAAAACTTGAAACGGAGCATGGAAGGCTTGTCAAAGATGAGGCATAAGCATCTGGTCAGCCTTATCGGACACAGCGCTGTCACGTACCAGGACCATCCCACCGCATCTAACACGGTATTTATTGTTCTTGAGAACGTCACCATCGGGTCGCTGATGGACCATCTCACCGGTAAAGAACGGACGTCCTGCACAGAGAAGAACTGTAATTGGATTAACTGAAACACTTCTAATATGCACGGTTTGGTTTTGTAGATTGGAGAAAGAAGGAATGGATGAAATGGCCGCAGAGAATGGCGGTTACCATCGGCATTGCCAGAGGAGTCCAGTTCTTGCACACCGGCGTGGCTCCCGGCATCTTTGGGAACAATTTGAAGATAGAGAACATATTGTTGGATGAGAGTGTTTCTGCTAAAATCAGTAACTACAATCTGCCATTGCCATTTCAGGTGAGAATTGGCAAAAAGTAAACGAGCTTGAAATTTTTGAAAAGAAGGCGAAGTGTTTGTAGTCATTAACAATTGCATTCTCTAATTTGCAGGTTGGTTCGGAGAGTCATCTTCATGGAGAAGGGATTAGTAGTAATTCCCATCTAAGCAGGTATTTACTTTTCTTCATCTTCTTCTGTTCTACCGCGGCGTCTAAGTTTTCTTACGAGAATGGTAAAAACGCAGTGCCGAAGCAGAGAAGGAAGATATTTACCAGTTGGGCATTATTCTACTTCAAGTTCTTACTGGTAGATTGATCAAATCAGCTACCGAATTGGATGAGCTTAGGATTCAGGTAAATCTTATAGAAAAGAGTTCTTCGACCAACATTATCAGTTGTCGCAGGAACTGAACTAATGAAGTGCGTTTCCTTTTCATTTCTAATTAACAGTTCGAAGAGGGCTTGATAGAAGGACGATCGACGCTACGAGAAATAGTAGATTCGTCAATGATTGGGAGTTTTGCGTATCAGTCGCTGAAGACGGCAGTTGAAATCACCGTCAATTGTTTGAGCAGAGATCTAAGCAAGCGTCCTTCCATAGATAACGTTCTTTGGAATTTGCAGTATTCGATTCAAGTTCAGGAGGGGTGGACTAGCAGTGGAAACCTCAGCGCACAAATGTAGTACTTCTTTAGCGGGATTTACAGTTCTACTTGATACTTGTTGGGCAACGTGTCCATACGAATAAATCAAAGTCTATAACATTTCGTGTTTACTGTTTTTCGTTCGCTCAATATTCTAGACTCTATAATCTACGGCGAGCATAAGCAGAACCAAACACGAATGCAAAGGGGCGGACACATCAAACCCAGAAGAAAGTGTACAACCACCATGGATTCATGGTGCACAACTTCGCACGCGATGGTCACGTGACGTTGTTGTGAGAGGCAAATGTACAAGGCAGATGCATATCAACATTTCCTTCAACCCCAGTCTACATGATATGATAGAGCAAAATTAAATGCAGTTTTAGATGGAAGAAAACTGCAAGGCAGGTGGTCCAACGTATTAGATATACGAGGCCTAAACGCCACTGAATAAAAGACCAAGCAAAATATTTCACAAGATAAGAAAGTTGAGTTCTTCACAACACAAATGGTTTTCAAGTTTCAAAGTTATTTAAACAGAGGCCTGATTCAACTGATTTTCGAAAGCTCTCCATCAGGAGTTAACTCTTTAATCGGCAGTCCAACTCTGCTCAACAATCTCGCGGACTCTCCTATTGTATTCGCGCTTGTTCTCGCTAAACATCCGTGCAGCTTCTGAATTTGCTGGAGAGTTTGGGTTTGGATCACACAGCAAAGACTGCAATAAGAAAAAACATATTAGGAAATAAAAGACAAACGTAAATAAAAAGGCCATTAGAAACAGAGTGAACTCCCTCAACAATCTTATATTTCATTCATATATATTGACTAAAAGCCATATATCCACATAAACATATGAATATGTGCATGCGCCTGTAAACGTATGAGAGAAAGTAAAGTTCGGTTGTGTGTTGTTAAAAGAGAGTATAATCAGATAGTTTTGTATTAAAACAATTCCCATGCATATAGTTATGGGAATAATTATGAGAAAATGGAAGTGTGGTTAGATACTGAGATGATTACTAATTTTATGCAACATGAAGCGGTAGCCAAGATCCGAGAGAGGTGCAACAAGAAGCACTTGATTGTCCACATGCTTTTAGAATTCTTGTTCTTTGAAATGAAAGGTGAAGCAGACAGGGACACATGAAAATTCCATGTGGATAGAAGTAATAGACATAATTAGGCATGAGGTGCATGTGCATGCATTGGAAAGAAAACAGAAAAGACGGGATATTTTCTTGGAGGAAGAACTCAAATCAGTACAATCAATGCTTCCTTGCTCTCGTAGTGCTCAAATAAATGCTACAAAACTTAGTATTGGATTGGAGCGAACAAGATGGGGCAGTTAGACCAAATTTGTGTGACGCAAAAGACAGCAACTTATCCTTTCATATATGGTGTTTGAAAAAAAAAAAAAATCCTTATATGGGGTGTGGTCTCTTACAAACATAGCATATGACACATGTAAACAATAGGTTCTCAATAAATCAAAGGATTAGAAGTAACCAAGCAATAAATAGAACATAAACAAATACCTGAATGGAGGTAAGTATAGCTGCTACATCATAGATAGGGCTCCACTGATTCTGTAGGATGTCCAAACAAATGCTTCCATCTGCATAAACTGGAAAGGCGAGACAGACAGAGCTTAAAACTTGAAACAGCCAAAATATTTCCAACTATTTGCATTCTGGTTAACTTGTTAAAACACATTCACAAAAATGAGTGAACAACCAAGGCAACAAGCTGTGAAGGTAAAGATGATCAGTGATTTAATCTCAATTAACACATGTCTGCAAACATAAAAATAAAAAATAAATAAGTGCTTCCATTTCCTCAGCTCCTTTTTCACCCATGAAAAGCTAGTTTGGCTAAGTGAGTGAGTGTATAACGATTAAAAAGAAAAATGAAAGACAGTTTTCTTCCAAAACAAGGTAATGACAGGATATGACGCGTAAGAAAACTAAACCCTGATAAAAGCACAATACCAGAGAACAAACTGTGCTACAATTACATATGCACAAATCCAAGAGGAAACTGAGATAATAGATCCAAACACAATAAACTCCTCTTCTAATTTAAGAACCATCGAAAATAACAATTATTGCAGTTTGTACTTGTATGTGCATACATATGTATCAACTCATGTAAAAACGTAAAACGTGCATGCAGGTATAGGAGTGCAGTTTCCGTTTGAACTTACTATTTGGATGAAACATTCGAGAAACGAAACGCACAGTTGGCGGCTTATTTGGATAGTCCTCTGTGAATTGGAGTGTCAACTTAAACGTACCTGGGAAACACAAAAATATTTTTAAAGATGTAGCTTAAAAGTTACACATGGAAGAAGAGAAATCCAATTGCAACATGATACGAAGTTCATCTCAGTTTTTACCTCCATCCCATGGGGTGTCATCAGGCCTGCAATTCAAACAATGAAGGGCATAAATAAAATTGTACGGGATCTCAGGAAAAACAATCAAACTAAACTGAAATAGGCAACAAAACACAATCTCCTTCGGAGACGTACCCAAATATAACAGCATTCCAAAGCATAATATTGTTGTCTTGAGGGGCACCGCTTATACCAGCAGGAGGATCCTGTTGCAACCTCTTGAAATCCCTCATCAGTCTCTTCCTTGCGGGAGTCGACATCCTCACCGCCTATATATGTTAGGCCAACCAAAGAAATAAAAACACTCAGTCATGGTCGAATACTTTTCCAAACATGGGTGTCGAAAAGTAAACACGCAGGCGTCGTTGGCAGCAAGAAATCAATTCATAACTTGCATCAACAGAGAATTGCAGAAAGTACAACCCAACCAACACGTTAAGGCATTCGAGCAACATAATTGAGGTTAAACAAAAACTTACCTAAAGATTAAACCTAGAAATGAACACAGATTCAAAGACTTCAATCCGAAAAGCTCAAGTAACCTCTAAAATATAAACCAATATCAAATCCCAAATTATGCCATATCCAAATTATTAAACAAAATATAATTGATTCCAATAAATAATTGACTGAATTTTGATGCACCTGAGCTCAAATAAAGTCTAAATCCAACACTAAATGGATCCAATTGCACACAAAATCTTAGTCAACTGGTTGCTATACAAGTTCGAGCTATAAACAAAAACAAAAACCACAACCATGCATAATCAAAATCCAAGATCCATATTCCTATCAGCTAATCACGTCAAGCTAAAATCATTAACGAAAACATATGAAATCACACAAAAATTTAGGGTTTATATTCTTGTATTACAATTAAGAAATTAGATCTTCTACGAAATCAAATTCCACACAGACCACAAATCGGAGGAAAATTCAAATATTGCATCTGTTATAAGATAGCTGAAGAAATAAACCCAGAAATTAAGAAAAACCTGTTAGCCGACGGCGAGAGAATTTGATTCTCAAAGACAGATGTCCAGAACCGCGGGAACGGATGGGAAGATTTGGCAGCTCAGGAGTTTTCCCGCGAAACAAACAGATGGATGTTAAGATAGAGAAAACGGCGTCGGAGGAGGATTTCCACGGTGGCCGGAGGATGAGAGAGAGAGAGAGAGGAGGAGAGAATATTTTTAGGTTAACAGGTTTCTAAGCTGGGATTGATTTGGTTTTATATTTACAGGCAATTAAAAACGCTATTCGAAGTCTCTCAGGTCAGCGCTTATTCTCTCTCTCTCTCTCTCTCTTCCTTGGCGCGTCTTCTTCTCTTTGCCAACTTGCAAAAAGCCAACATGACAATGGGATGTCATCATTCATCAACCATCACCACATCAACTTCATGTATGGTACCATATCATTTTCATGTGTAGCGTAGGGCTATTAAGATATTGGTGTTTATTATATTATCGTACTGTAAATCTTATTATACAATTAAACATAAAGTAGTGGTCGGAATAAGGAAAAGCGGCTCTCCTGAGTCGAAATAAGTTACAGTAACTCAATTTCAATTTATTGTGCAAATTTTGTAGTCACTTTGAAGTTTGTGTTTTTAAGTTAATTTCATGTTAACGATAACCATTCGTGCTGGATTTTTGCAATATATGTGACCCTGTTTGAGCATTGTTATGGGAGGAAGTCGTTGTATTCCAGTGTTGTTGATGAATCCGCTCGTGGATTATGTATTTGACATATGGCTAAAAGCATTGTGACGACTACAAATACAGATTTCTTTTAATAAAAACAAACAATCTAGCATACTTTACTACGGTATAGTAACTTTTTACATTTATTGTTACAATGTTGACATGCTACACTAATAGCCAGTTAGTACCTCGTGTAAAAAAAATTATAGCATTGATCCTTGAATTTTGACCAATTGAAATTTTGATCTTTGAACAAAAAATATGTGAGTATTAATTTATGAACTTGTCTCAATGTGAAGCAATAATTCTTATTAGTAACTTTGTTGCATGACTTATTTGCCCCTTATAACCTTTCATTTTGAACAAAAATTCTAAACAAAGAATGACTATTATTCTACATTGTGACGAAGTATTTTTCCAACGTTAGGCAAAGCGTTTTTCTTTAAAATGTAATGTTTATCAATGACTTGTGCGTGAGAACGCCAAATAAATATAATACGGAAACTAATTTCGTTGTTGGTACCGTGAAACTTCCTCATTCGGAAAACTGTGCTGAAAGTGAATTGGCAAAATTAAATTAGCAAATGCATGAATGTTGGACTAAAATGATGCACCAACCAGTCAACGATACTTCTAGATGTGGACCCCCCATATGCCATTCCTAAATAAACATGCACGTATACGTTACCATTTGAAAGTCCGAATTCTCGTCCTATCTTTTTTATCAGGATTCTGATAATTCATGAATCATATTTGTTTATTGTACATTGTACGATTAAAAATTATTTTAAACATAAACAGTATTCTTTTTGTGATGTATGATTAACAGATACAAATTTACGAATTCCTAAGATCGTCAACAAAAGAATCTAAAGAAGATCCCGTTGATACCATTTGCATTCACAAAGTCACAATATCATTTCTTAATTTTATCAAAGGGTCCAACTAGTCACTTTATGTGTCAAATGTGGTGATCATAAATCTTTAATCCCAAATTTAATCTTTGGTTAAAATGCATAAATCATATGGTGAGTTTATAGTTATGGAGTATGATTTTCTCCCTTTCTAATTCCCTATCTTTTCCTCTTCTCTTCTCACAATTTCTTTTTTTGTCTTTATTTCTCTATAAAAAATTAATATAAAATGCTAACGTGACTGAATTGTAACTATTTAAATAGAAAAGGAAGGTAGTAGAAATAGATTAGGATAGAAGAAAATTCTATTTTGTAAATTATTACTAATAAATCTATGTACGTCAACAAAAAGTTAATAGTGAAAAGTGTGTGAACTATACGACTTCGAGTGCATAGAAACACGGGTTTAAATATTTGAGTTACATGCGTTTTTGAAAAGATTGAAAGCAACTTGATTAGTAGTACCAATGATATCTAGCAGTCTTATCTCTTCACCTCACCTTATATTCTCAGCTACCACTAAAAGTTAAAAAATGAAGATTCTCTTTTCTCAGCCACCCTAATTACTAAAATAACCTTGATGTGTTTTTCCCTTAATATGAAACAAATAAAATGAAACAAAAAAACTGAAGGAAAACTCAAAGATCCTAGGATCTGTACCAGACACGGCTACGACAAACACCACCTTCCCTCCGGAAAGAGATTCTCTCTCTGAATCTTTTCCTCTATAGCTCGCGGATCAAGTGATTAGGGTTCTTAAAATTTGATCTAATGACTCTTGAAATCCAGATCCTTAAAAGTTATAATAATTTTTGTAGTTAGATCAAATTTCAAGAAGCTGGATCACTTGATTTGCAGGCTTTGGAGCAAGAAATTCGGAGATGATCTCTTTCCCTTCCCTTCTAATTTCTGCACCAGACCATGAATGCCCGACAAGGATGGATTCATATTTTCTACTCTCTCTCTCTCTCTCTCTCTCTCTCTATATATATATATATATATATATATATAGACACATGCCTACCTCTATTCTCTCATATATCCATACCCGTTCTTATAAAAAAAACAATCGCATAAAGTGAGGCCTCATCTTTGTCCCTGCAAGGTCTCCCTTTTTTTGGCTGCTCTCAGATGACCGCGTCGTCAAAATTAAGGAGATTTGCACGAAAAAGTTCCAGTATGGAATAGTTGGCAGGAGGAATCTGGTGCACGATTGCAGTTTTATTTGGGCGATTGGATATTTCTTGGTGTCATTGAGTGTTCTTCAGTTTCTTTGTCAACAAAAATGGTTGGGGTGGGTGCTGGCTAGTGACATTAATATTTTTTTTTTTGTAACTTTTTAATTTTTAGATCAAGGTCATTTTGTATGAGGTTAAATTTGTCTATAGAACTTTTATATTAAAGTGAATGGAAAAATAAGCTAATAAGATGGGCATAGCACCTCTCAACTTTTATTGATTGATTATTCTTAGATTTATTTATTTTATTTTTCTTAAAAAGGGGGATAACTAGTAGCAAATCACAGTTGCCCACTTCTTCGGGATTTAGAGAGGCTATGAGGAACTTGACTCTGTATGTGGTCACAGTCAAGCAAACTCAGCTCAGAGTATCGAACCCAAAACTTCTCATATTTTTTGTTTATTGAGGAGCCTCAGTTTGCCCTTACCATTGTGCCACTTGTTGTGATGATTCTTCTTTGATTTATTCAATTATAAAATAAAGATGTGAAAATTATTTCCGAGCTTCTAATTAATAGACTAGTATCAAATTAATAAAAAAGGAGAACGCTTCGGATTCTGCTTTGAGCATGGTGAAAACTCCATTTTCTTCAATCTTGATTCCTCGCACACTAAGTGCTTTAATTATGGTCAATTTCAAGTGATGGCATAAATAAAATTCTTCTGCCATAAAACGATAAGAGAATAGTGGATGATTTTATATAAAGAAAAGTTTTTTGCAGCAATAAGGATTGGCTCAGTTGATAAGGTCTCTATTTTGTGTGTTGCCTAACCAAAGTTTAAATTTTATTGCCAACAACTTTCATTGGTGCGTGATATGTAAATTTCTACGTAAACCCATACAAGTAACAGTTGACAGTTAAGTGTCATGCGTAAGTTCTTCTAACTCGAGGTTGTAGGTATACTTGACACTAATTGGGAGAATAACCAATCTCTCTATAAAGTGGATGAAAAAAATAAGATAACAAGATGGGCATAGCACCTCTCAACTTTTATTGATTGATTCTTTTTCGATTTATTTAATTTTTTTTTCTTAAAAAGGGGGATAACTAGTGAGTAGTGGCAAATTACGGTTATTCATCTCTTCGGGGCCTCTAGATTGTGTATGTGGCCACAGTCAAGCAAACTCACCAGCTCAAAGCATTAAACCCATAACTTCTCACATTTTTTTGTTTATTGAGAATCCACAGTTTGCATTCTTACCACCGTGTCACTTGTTGTGGTTATTCTTCTTTGATTTATTCAATCATAAAATAAAGGTGTGAAAATTATTTCCGAGCTTCTAATTACTAGACTAGTATCAAACCAATAAAACAGGAGGACGCTCTGGAATCTGCTTTGAGCATGGTGAAAACTTCATTTTCTTCAATTTTGATTCCTCGCAAAGTAAGTGCTTTAATTATGGTCAATTTCAAGTGATGGCATAAAGAAAATTATTCTGCCATAAAACGATAAGAGAATAGTGGATAACTTTATAAGAAGAAAAGTTTTTTGCGCCAATAAGGATTGGCTCAGTTGATAAGAAATCTATTTTATTTAGTGTGCCGCCTAACCAAATTTTGAATTTTATTGCCAATAATTTTCGTTGGTGCGTGATATGTAAATTTATACGTAAACTCATATCAGTAACAATTGACAGTTAAGTGTCATACGTAAGTCCTTCTAACTCGAGGCTGCAGATATTTATGTAATGATAACCATTCGTGCTGGATTTTTGCAATTTATGTGACCTTGTTTGAGCGTTATGGCGGGAGAAAGACGTTGTATTCTAGTGTTGTTGATGAATCCGCTCGTGGATTATGTATTTGACATATGGCTAGAAGCATTGTGGGTACTACGAATACAGTTTTCTTTTAATAAAAACAAACAATCTAGCATACTTTACTACGGTATAGTAACTTTTTACATTTATTGTTACGATGTTGACTCAAAGAGCCAATTGGTACCTCGTGTAAAGAAAATTATAGCATTGATCCTTGAACTTTGACCAATTGAAATTTTGATCTTTGAACAAAAAATCTGTTAATATTAATCTATAAACTTGTCTCAATGTGAAGCAATAATTCTTATGAGTGACTCTGTTAAAACTTGCATGACTTATTTGCCCCTTATAACCCTTCATTTTGAACAAAAATTCTAAACAAAGAATGACTATTATTCTACATTGTGACAAAGTATTTTTCCAACATTAGGCAAAAGCGTTTTTCTTTAAAATGTAATGTTTATCAATGACTTGAGCGTGAGAACGCCAAATAAATATAACATGGAAACTAATTTCGTTGTTGGTACCGTGAAACTTCCTCATTTGGAAAGCTGTGCTGATAGTGAATTGGCGAAATTAAATTAGCAAAAGCATGAATTTTGGACTAAAATGATGCACCAACCATGTCAACGATACTTCTAGATGTGGACCCCACATATGCCATTCCTAAATAAACATGCACGTATACGTTACCATTTGAGAATCCGAATTCTCGTCGTATCCTTTTTGTGAGGATTATGAATTATATTTGTTCATCGTATATTGTACGATAAAAAATTATTTTAAATATTTTTATTTAAAATTAAATATAAACAGTACTTGACAAAAACAAAACTAATCACACGATACATGATGAACGAATACAAATTTACGAATTCTTAAGATCGTCAACAAAAGAATCCAAAGAAGATCATGTTGGTAACATTTGCATTCACAAAGTCACAATATCATTTCTTAATTTTATCAAATGGGTCCAACTAGTCACTTTATGTGTCAAATGTGGTAATCATTAATCCCAAATTGAATCTTTGGTTAAAATGCATAAATCATATGGTGAGTTTATAGTTATGGTTAATGATTTTCCCCCTTCCTAATTCCTTCTCTTTTCCTCTTCTCTTCTCACAATTTATTTTTTTGTCTTTATTTATCTATAAAACAATTAATATAAAATACTAACATGATTTTATCATAACCATTTAAATATGAGAGGAAGGAAGTGAAAATAAATTAGGAGAAGAGTGAATTATACTTCGTAAATTATTACTAATAAATCTATGTACGTCAACAAAAAGTTAATAGTAAAAAGCGTGCGAACTAAATAAACGACTTCGAGTGTATAGAAACACAGTATGAAATATTTGAGTTACATACGTTTTTGAAAAGATTGAAAGCAACTTGATTAGTAGTACCAATGATCTCCAGCAGTGTTATCTCTCCACCCCACTTTATATTCTCAACCACCACTAAAAATTAAAAAATGAAAATTCTCCTTTCTCAGCCACCCTAGTTACTAAAATAACCTTCATGTGTTTTTCCTTTAATATGAAACAAATAAAATAAAACAAAAAACTGAAGGAAAACTCAAAGATCCGAGGATCCGTACCAGTCACGGCTATGACAAACACCCCGTTCCCTCCGGAAAGGGATTATCTTCAAATCTTTTATTCTATAGCTCGCATTTTAAGTAATTCGGATTCTTAAAATTTGATCTAACGATCTTTGAAATCCGGACTCCTAAAAGTTATAATAATTTTTAGCAGTTAAATTTTTTAATCCTTTGGCTTTGAAGGAAGAGATTCACACCAGACCATGAATGCCTGACAAGGATGGATTCATATTTTCTACTCTCTCTCTCTCTCTCTCTCTCTCTCTCTCTCTCTCTATATATATATATATATATATGCCTTCCTCTGTTCCCTCTTATATCCATACTCGTTCGTTTAAAAAACAATCGCATAAAGTGAGGCCTCATCTTTGTCCTTGCAAGGTCTCCTATTTTTGCTGCTCTCAGATGACCGCGTCGTCAAAATTAAGGAGATTTGCACGAAAAAGTTCCAGTATGGAATAGTTGGCAGGAGGAATCTGGCGATTGCAGTTATTTGGACGATTGGATATTTCTTGGTGTCATTGAGTGTTCTTCAGTTTCGTTGTCAACAAAAATGGTTGGGGTGGGTGCTGGCTAGTGACATTAATATTTTTTTTTTTTTTTGTAACTTTTTAATTTTTAGATCAAGGTCATTTTGTATGAGGTTAAATTTGTCTATAGAACTTTTATATTACAGTGAATGGAAAAATAAGCTAATAAGATGGGCATAGCACCTCTCAACTTTTATTGATTGATTCTTCTTAGATTTATTTATTTTATTTTTCTTAAAAGGGAGGATAACCAGTAGCAAGTCACAATTACCCACTTCTTTGAGATTTAGAGAGGCTATGGGGAATTTGACTTTGTTTGTGGTCACAGTGAAGCAGACTCAGCTCAGAGCATCGAACCCAAAACTTCTCATATTTTTTTGTTTATTGAGGAGTCTCAGTCTGCGTCCTTACCACTGTGTCACTTGTTGTGATTATTCTTCTTTGATTTATTCAATTATAAAATAAAGATGTGAAAATTATTTCCAAGCTTTTAATTACTAAACTAGTATCAAACTAATAAAAAAGGAGAACGCTTCGGAATCTGCTTTGAGCATGGTGGAAACTCCATTTTCTTCAATTTTGATTCCTCGCAAACTAAGTGCTTTAATTATGGTCAATTTCAAGTGATGGCATAAATAAAATTCTTTTGCCATAAAATGATAAGAGAATAGTGGATGACTTTTTATAAAGAAAAGTTTTTTGTGGCAACAAGGATTGGCTCAATTGATAAAGTCTCTATTTTGTGTGTCGCCTAACCAAAGTTTGAATTTTATTGCCAACAGCTTTCGTTATTGCGTGATATGTAAATTTCTACGTAAACTCATACCAATAACAGTTGGCAGTTAAGTGTCATGCGAAAGTTCTTCTAACTCGAGGCTGTAGGTATACTTGACACTGATTGGGAGAATAACCAATCTCTCTATAAAGTGGATGGAAAAATAAGATAATAAGATGGGCATAGCACCTCTCAACTTTTATTGATTGATTAATCTTCGATTTATTTAATTTTTTTTCTTAAAAAGGGGGATAACTAGTGAGTAGTGGCAAGTTACAGTTATTCATCTCTTAGGAATCTGGAGCGGCTATGGGGAATTAGACTCTGCATGTGGCCACAGTCAAGTAGACTCACCAGCTCAAAGCATCGAACCCATAACTTCTCACATTTTTTTGTTTATTGAGGAGTAGCAGTGTGCGTTCTTACCATTATGGCACTTGATGTGGTTATTCTTCTTTGATTTATTCAATGTGAAAATTATTTCCGAGCTTCTAATTACTAGACTAGTATCAAACCAATAAAACAGGAGGACGCTCTGGAATTTGCTTTGAGCATGGTGAAAACTCCATTTTCTTCAATTTTGATTCCTCGCGAAGTAAGTGCTTTAATTATAGTCAATTTCAAGTAATGTCATAAAGAAAATTCTTCTGCCATAAAACGATAAGAGAATAGTGGATGACTTTATATAAAGAAAAGTTTTTTGCGCCAACAAGGATTGGCTCGCTTGATAAGATCTCTATTTTGTTTTGTGTGTCTCCTAACCAAAGTTTGAATTTTATTGCCAATAATTTTCGTTGGTGCATGATATGAAAATTTATACGTAAACCGATACGAGTAATAGTTGGCAGTTAAGTGTCATGCGTAAGTCATTCTAACTCGACGCTGCAGATATACTTGACACTGATTGGGAGAATAACCAATCCCTCCATAAACTTTTGTGAATAAAAAAAAAAAAGATTCTTGCACAAACCCCACATTTTGTTGGCTCATATTGAGTATTTAAAACCATCTGCCCTAGTTCACCAGCAACCTTGATGTTGTGATGCATGAATTTTATACGTATATTGGTTAGAAAAGTCTTAAGTTAGATAACTTGATTACATATTGTCACTTAATAAGATGCTACTATGTCAGTTACTTTTCACCTAAAATTAAATAAAGCATCATTTCAAAAAATATAAAGCAAGCATATGATTAAATGAAACATTTAGGTAGAAAGCAAATGATATAGTAGCATCTTAAGTTCGATGATAATATAATGTGAACAACATGTTAATTATAGTTAATAATATACAGACATGAAAGTTGATATTAAGTAGTTAACAAACCACGTAATTAGACAGTTTAATAGAATTTCTCGCCATAATAGCATCGTAAGTTCGATAATAATAATAGTGTGAACAACATGTCGATTATAGTGAATAATATGTCGAGATGCATGTTGATATTAAGTAGTTAATGAACCACGTGATCAAACAGCCTGAGCGAATCCCTCCACTATCCAGGTATGCCAAGTATACACTCTGCCATACCATAACCCTTCAATATTCCCATCATCATGATATTTTAATTATTTACTAAATATGCCAATGGGTAAAAAAAAAAAAAAAAAAAAAAAAAAAAATCTAATGAAAACTTTGAGTTTTAACGATAAGGACAAAATAAAGGATAAATTAAATAATACCAGGATTGACTTTTTAATGTAAAAATTTGAACTTTTGTTAAAATAAACAGTATTATGAATTTTTTTGTTAAAGTTTCAAAAAAAAAAAGAAAAAAAAAGAAAAAGAAATATAGCTGGACAGCATAGTACCCAATCGCACATTGAATCTTTGATTCGCTGACCCCACGTGCTATGCTTGTCGGCCGACTCAAAATATCTTGATATCTAAACTGGGCCGGGCCGAACTCTAAAGCCCATTTGTAAACCCAGTTTCCCAAAATGAAACACAAAGAAGTGGTATCGGATTGACGTCACCCATTTTTGAATCCAACCAATGAAGAGCAAAGTTGCTAAACTAATCGCGAGTGGGTCGGACAGAGAAGTCCTCTACTTACACGCGCAGCGCGTCTCTGCGTTTCTGCGTCCTCGCGAATTCAGATTCCCGCCTCTTCTCAAAGCCTGCGGAAAGGCCGGTCAGCTCCGTAGGCACATATTCTACATGCCCATCTCTTCAAAACCCGTTTTTCGGCCGATGTTTACTCCGCCACGGCTCTCACCGATGCGTACATGAAGCTTCGTTTTATGGGAGATGCACTCAAGGTGTTTGAGGAAATGCCTGAACGGAACTTGGGTTCGTTGAACGCAGTGGTCACCGGGTTTTTGAAAAATGGGTACTGTAGAGAGGCTTTGCATTGAGAGCGATGTTTATGTTGGCACGTCTGTTCTGACTATGTATTCGAACTGCGGAGAGTTGGTTTCTGCGGCGAAGGTGTTTGAAGAAATGCCCACCGAGAGCGTTGTGAGCTACAATGCTTTTGTTTCAGGGCTTCTACAGGTGAAAACCCTAATTCAGTTACGTTGATTTCGGCTGTTTCTGCCTGTGCTAGCCTTTCGTATCTTCGATTCGGCAAGCAGGTTCACGGTTTGATCGTCAAAATTAAGATCGGGCTTGACCTTATGATTGGAACAGCACTTGTGGACGTGTATTCCAAGCGTGGTCGTTGGCAGCTGGCTTATGCTTTCTTCAAAGAACTAGATGAAAAGAGGAACTTGTTTACATGGAATGCCATGATCGCCGGAATGATATTGAATGCGCAAGCTGAGAATGCCGTTGAGCTATTTGAACAGCTAGAATTCGAAGGATTTGAACCGGATTCCGTTACTTGGAAATCAATGATCAGTGGGTTTTCGCAGCTAGGGAAGGGCATTGAAGCTTTCAAGTGTTTTAAGAGAATGCAATCAGCTGGTGAAGTCCCCAGTTTAAAATCTATCACAAGTCTTTTACCGGCGCGTGCAGATTTATCTGCTCTGCATTGTGGAAAAGAAGTTCATGGCCACGCAATTTTAGCAATGATTTGTTCATTTCAACTGCTCTTATCGACGTGTACATGAAATGTGGGCTGCGCAAGAAGAATTTTTTATGGGTTTCGGGTAAAACCCGATATCCAGCATTTTGGAACGCATTCATATCGGGATATGGAAGAAACGGAGAGAATGCAGATGGAAGAAACGGAGAGAGTGAATCTGCATTCGGGGTCTTTGAACAGATGTTGGAAGAAAAAGTACAACGAAATGCTGCAACTTTCACCAGTCTTCTATCCATGTGCAGTCACACAGGTTTGGTGGACAAGGGATTGCAAGTTTTTAGGATGATAAACAAAGATTTTGGTCTAAAACCAAATCCATTTGGGTTGCATGGTTGATCTTTTGGGTCGAACTGGCAGGTTGAATGAAGCCCGAGAATTAATAGAACAATTACCAGAGCCTTCCGGAGCAGTTTTCGATTCTTTGCTAGGAGCCTGTGAAGGCCATTTGGATTCAGAACTGGAGAAAGAAGTTGCTACAAAACTTTCAGAATTAGAGCCAGAGAACCGAGCACCTTTCGTGATCCTTTCGAAGATATATGCTGCACTTGGCAGGTGGGAGGACGCAGAAAAGATTAGAGGATTGATGAATGATAAAACACGAAGAAAGCTCCCTGGCTTTAGTTTATTAAGACTGCATGAGAAGTAGATGCATGAAACAAAAACTGCAACTCAATGTCAACTGTTTAAAGTCCCAAACCAAAATTTTGAGACTCTCTGCTTCTCCGTAGAAGTTTTCGGCAAACAGAAATCTCACTGATTCAACATCTCCTTCACCGCAAACCCCATGTAGTTATTGAAGTGGTCTGGTGGTTCGTAAATGAAGCAAGAGATCACATCTCTGAGTGTGATGACGCCAACAACTTCACCTTCCTCCCCAGCTACTACATGGATCCTATGAACGGACTTGGAAGCAAGACTTTCAATCACATTGCCAAGAGGCGACTCCAGTTTGCATGTAATCGGTTGGATAACTTTTCCAATTTCGTTGGTTGTTGCGATGGTGCTCATGAAGTCCCTAACAGTGAGCTTCCTGAAAGAAATTGGCACACAAATTAAGTACCTCATCAAGAATGATTGTCTTTGTCAAGTGATCAAAACAAGCATTGGCTTTGTTTCTTGACAGAAATCAGCGTATGCAGATTAGTTCAAATTCACAACTGGATGAGTTCAGTTTCATAAGTAGGTATTTCAGATCCTTCACACCTTGAAGTTGAGAGGATTAGAGCACTCTACAGTCCATCGTGAGGACCAAGCAAAGGTTGTGCACCGTAAATGGTTCAAAGTTTATTTTCGAATACCTGAAATTGGAGAAAAGCTCGGGTTTGAGTAGCAAGAATCTGATATCTCTGATGCTGACATTACCGACTATGTTTTTCTTGGGCCCCTCTACAACGGGAAGACCACCGATTTTGTTATCTCTCATCCTCTTGAAAGCTTCCAGTATTAGATCATTGCTCGTGATGCTAATAACCTAGCCAAGAAAACAAGGGAGCAATAATATTGAGACTCCAAATTCACTGTTTATAAAGAATATTGTTTCGGAAACCAGGCAACCTTACCTCTTCAGAGGACATGAAAGGAAGTCCGAAATCGGAGATAGGCTTTGCTGCTATGCAGTCGAACCAGTCCCTTCCTCTGCATCTCTCAAGACCCTGAACAAGTCCTGATTGAGTAATGTAGTTTTTAATGTTGGGTTGGCCTGGTTCTATTACAGGTACATTCCTCAGCCTATATTTTGAAAGTAGTAGCATAACACTCAACATCGAACTATCTGTTGCCACTGGAATGAATGGCGCCCAGCGGAAGGATTTAAGTATTGACCTCACCTGAAACATACAAGTACATATCACATTCGGTTCACCCAGTCAAATAACTCGCAAGAAACCAATACTCTACACAGAATCTTCTTACTGTTGTTGACTTGAAGGGTTCATCATTCAGTATAACATTGTAAAAGTCTTTGCCCAATTCATCAGCAGCTGTGGGAGCATCTTTGGCTATTCCTTTCTCTGCAGCCGCACCGCCAGCCACGGCAGCTCCAACAGCAGCAGCAGTTAGTCCTACAACCGCAGCAGGACCAGTCACCCCCAATGCTAGAGCCCCAATGGCCCCTACTGCACCTGCACCGACTCCAGCCGCTGTTGCTGACGTAGCTGATATAGCAACCGCAGCCAGCTCTGCACTCTCCAACACCCAAAGAATAATGGCAGAGTAATCTATGAGACCTAGGTACCTGCCTCTCCAATCTGAACTTGTATCTGCTTCTGGATTGCTAACAGGAGCTGACAAAATGTTGTTTTCAGACAGAATCTTAACCGCGTCGCCAACGGACGTATCTGCCGGAATATCAATTACTGCAAATAATAATGTAACAAGGCACTACTTTTAGCTAACCATTGATCTCAGTCAATTCTATTATCATCCATAAATACTGTAATTGCGGATTAAACAGTTAATTCTGTCACCTTTGCCTCCAGGTACTGCTGGGAAAGATGAAACCGGAATTTTCGCAAATGCATTTGTTAAAACCTCCTGTAGGGGACGAGGTAATTTCTTCCTGGATTGGATGGTTTCGAAGTAGGCATCGTAGCTTGAAAGTTTAGATCTTTCCTTAACCTCTTGTGCTTCTGCTTCTGCTTGTGCCATATCTACTCTGAAGACAGAAATCGAAATCTTAATCCAATGTCTTCACATGAAGTCGTAGAATCATTATACAAGAATTTTCTTAATGTAGTTCGAATTAACCAGGATTAATTTGTTTTGTGCAAATTCTGTCTCCCATCTGGGTTGAGATCCTATTAATTTGCTCTTATATTATGTTAATTTGACATAATTAATCTAAATAGATGGCTAATAAAACATATTCAAGAAACATAAATTGTAAGCGAAAAACAAGATTAAAGAAGCTGGTAAAAGAGATACCTCCAAATGTGTGCTTCCAATGGATTCAGAAACTGCTGTCGGGCTCTGTTTATTTGGAAACTTTGAGGATTCTCTCTACCCTAGTAACCTCTACATGCATGGAACCTATACTTTTGACACGTGTCACCACCTGAAATGTGTTGCATTTCTGACTCACCACTTGTCACGAGTTGGTAAGAGTTCAGTTGGGCCTGGCCTAGGATACATAAAAAACCACCGCGAAGTTTTAGCTCTGCATTTGTTCTGTTTTTTGCCCTTGCCCAAAACTTTGGTTTCCCATTTATTTGGATTTGAGATTCTGTAGCTTTAACTTATAACTATGTAATTTGTATAATAATTTTGTGTTTAGTAGAAGTTGGTGTTCAATTTTTGACACGATTATTGAATAATAGAATTGTGATTAGCGGATTATTGGAAAATTAGAATTGTGATTAGTGGATTGTTGGAATATTAGAATTGTGATTAGTGGATTGTTGGAATATTAGGATTATGATTAGGAGCATAGAAAATGGTATGAATTTAAACTGATTCTATAAAATTTTACAACTTGAAATAGTAAAGAAGATAGAGAGATTAATGGGTTTTTGTTACTTTCTGCATCTCCCACATGTTCTGTTTAACAAACTGATGTCTCACTGCTTCATTATCTGCTTCTTAGCAAACCCCAAGTAGACATCAAAGTGATTGGGTGGTTCAAAAATGAAGCAAGAAATCACATCTCTGAGTGTAATCACACCAACAACTTCTCCTTCATCATCCACCACATACACTCTGTGAACCGATTTAGAAGCAAGACTTTCAATCACATCGCCGAGAGTCGACTGCAGATTGCATGTAATTGGTAATATTTGTCTTCCCTGGCTTTCTGAGATTGTGTTCGTGAAGTCCCTAACACTGAGATTCCTGAAAGAAAAGGGTAACAAGTTAAGTTCGATTTCACATTGGAAGTGATTTCCACGCACGGTAAACCCTTTTCTCCTCCGGCACACGCCTGTTTGTTTCTGGCCTTTAGATTGAGTAAATCTAGGGAAATCAAAGGACAAGATAATAGCGTGCAGAAGGAGAAAAAAGGGTGTGCGGATATTATTTCCCTTTCGTGGTTGATTGACTCTACCGAGTGGTAGAAGTAAAACCACGCATTGATTTTATTTCTTTGACAGAAATCAGTGCATGCAGATGAGGTCCAGAGTTTGGTTTCGGTACCTGAAATTGTTGAAGAGCTCTGCTTTCAGAAGAGAGAATCTGATATCACTTATGCTGACATTACCAACTATCTTCTTCTTTGGCCCCTGCACAACTGGAAGCCCACCAATTTGGTTCTCTCTCATTTTCTTGAACGCTTCAAGTACCGGATCATCGACATTGGTGCTGATAACCTGCCCAAGAAACAATGCAACATTCATATCGGAATTCCAGATTCGCTAGTCAGCCAGAACCAGAAGAACGTTATGGTAACACGGCCAAGATTACCTCATTGGAGGACATAAAAGGAAGTCCCAGGTCAGAGATGGACTTTGCAGCAATGCAGTCGAACCATTCCATTCCTTTGCATCCCTCAAGACCCTGAACAACTGCTGATTGTGTGATGAAATTCTTAATATCGGGTTGCCCCACTTCTATTACAGGTACATTTCTCATCCTATATTTTGAGAGTAGTAGCAAGACGGTCAACATTGAACTATCTGTCCCTACCGGAAGAAATGACTCCCAGCGAAAGGATTTCAGTATTGATCTTACCTGAAACAGTCAAGTAAATATTGTCGGTTTCAAAACAAATACTCTTGAATATAGATTGATGCAGCAATGTTGTTGTCATCTTCTTGGTAAAGAATGAACTTACTGTGGTTGTCTTGAAGGGTTCATCTTGTAGTATAACGCTGTCGAGTTCTTCGCTCAGTTTATCAGCATCTGTGGGAGAATCTCTGCCCTCTCCTTTGTCTTCAGCCGCACCTGTTAAACAATATGGTTTTCACCAATGAGTTGTTTGGTTAACTTTGAGTCATAATCATGCGGATTTAACAAACCATTCGAGTCACATTTCACCTATTTTTCCAACTGCGCTGCCAGCCATGGCAGAGCAAACTGCTGCTGCAGTTAGGCCTGCAAGAGCAGCAGGACCAGTTACGCCCAATGCAACTGCTCCAATAGCGCCCATGGCTCCTGCACCACCAACTACAGCCGCGGTTGAGTGAGCCGAAGGAGAAAATGCACTGGTCTCCAACACCCAGAGAAGAATGGCGGAATAATCCACGATTCCCAGGTGGCTCTCCCTCCAATCTGCACTTGCATCTGCTTCCGGGTTTCTCACAGGAGCTGACAAAATGTGGTGGTTAGATAGAGTCTTTACTGCATCAGCAATTGATGTATCCGCTTGAATCTCCACCACTGCAAATTATAATTCATGATATAATCTTAGTTTTAAAGGGCACTGTTTCGTTTTAGCCAATCATTGATTAAAGTAGCTAATCGTTGGTATTATTATTACCTTTGCCTCCAGGAACTCCTTGGAAAGATGAGACTGGAACTTTCGAAAATGCAAATGTTAAATTTTCTTGTAGGGGACGAGATAATTTCTTCCGGGACTGGATCGTGTCGAAGTAGGCATCGTAGGATGAAATTTTAGGACTGGTGCCCTTCACCTCTTGTTCTTGGGGTTGTGCATCTGCCATAGTACACTAGAGGCAGAATTTGGGATAATTAATCTCTAAATCATAGAACAATGTAGCGGAATACCAGAGCGGAATTGTTATTAACACTGAAAAGAGTTGCCATCGTGCATTTCTCCTTTCTTATTTTTGCCTTACGGAATAATGCATAATGACTATTTCTAAATGCCGATAACAACTCTGTACTAGAATGTAGTAATCACCATCAATTTGATTTGTCGAAGGGACCTTAATTATCTAACTAATCAAAATTTTTAACATCAGAAGATCAATGGATCAGATCGGAGGAAAAACAAAAAAACAAAAAAAGAAGATCAAGAGATATAATTGAGGGTTTGTCGATATTTTGATACCTCAAAAGTCTCGCTGCCGATGGCTTCAGAAATAGGATTTTGGATTCTCAGATCGTTCTCCTTCCAGAAAACAATTAGCTTGCCTCTGCATGCATGAAGCCACAGCCTTGCCAAAGTGTAGGCACTGGATGCATGTTGGGCTTCTAATTCCCAATTAATTAAGTTGGACTAATCTTCATTTGGGTCTACTGGTTTATTGGGCCTGGCCTAGAAATCAAGACGTGAATACATAGGAGAAAAATGGCATGAATGAATAACCTATCTAATCATGATGTGAATTTATAATTGTATAAAGTTTGGGAATAATTATTGACACTTCAAAAATGTCATCCTGCACCCTTTTTATGAATATACATAAGGGAATGTACCGATAACATTTTTGAAGTGCCAACAAACAGTTCCCGAAAGTTTTACAATCTGTATTAGTTCGTACATTGTGTGTATATAACACCTCATCTAATTTACATTACACCATGCCTTGCTTGGTTTGTGGGTTTTTCTAGATACCAAGACTTGTAGCTGGTAACTAATCAAAGAAAGATAATGAATCAAGAATCACAAAGATTTGTTCAAGTAGCTTGATGCACACCCTATTCCATTTTGGCTTGATGGGAATATTGAATTCGACGTCAACGACTCACCCCGCTTCAATTTCAGCCCAGAAGCACTTTCTGCAATAGTCACAGTACTTTGATGACTTTCTCTGATCCCAGTAGTACTACTTGTACTCCCATTGCCAACAAATGATGTGAGTGCAGCTGCCAAAGCCGATTGAAATTTCGGATTCGATGTGATTGCCTTTGTGGCGGTGGCCGTTGAATCGGTTAACATCTGAGGATGATGAAGAGGAGAGGGATTTTGATTTTGTATGTAGGAATAGGATTGGTACACTTTGTTATGTTCTTGAAATATTGGTTGCTTTCCAATGTTTAGGGCTGATCCAACTTGATTAATTCTATTCCCATAGTTGAAATATCCAGAAGCTGTGTGATTGATGTTGTTCCAAGGAGATTTCAATTGCAATGTGTTATTGTGGTCTGAAGAGGACGAAAAGTTGAGAGATGTTGAGGGATATCTTGGGTTGGAAGAAAAGCCGCTCCCCGACGCGGAGGGGAATACTCCGAAATGAGAGGGAGATGGGACGGTGAGATCAAGAGTGATAGTTGGGTGGGAATTGTTGGTTGAGATCGAACTGTTGGGGAAGTAGAAGTGTTTCTGTGGTAGCCTTGAATTTTGAGAGAGAGTACTAGTACTACTGAAGTTTACTCCTTGGAGATTAGTGGAGGCGGAGATGGGAGCGGTGGTGGAGTTGATGAGGCCTTGTTGGGAGGTAGATGAGTGAGACTGAAGCATGGAAGCGGCGGCGGAGGTGGTAGAGGCCATGGCTGTGGCTGACATGGGAAGTGGGTGGTTGTGGCTTCCTTCGTACGTTGTGATTAGTATGGACATGTCCTCGAAACTTCTTTGCACCTGAAAAATATTGAACAAGCTTTAATATTTCACATAAGAAACTAAGAAAGTAAAGCATAGTGGTGCAATTAAGCTGAATTTAACGAATTAAGCAGACATACGTACCTGTTTTCTCACAGGGCAAGCTGATGAGACACTGCAACGATAGTACGCTCTAGGGCATGGATTTCCTTTTGATATTTTCTGTCCATATTTTCTCCATTGACATCCATCATAAATCTATAGTATAAAACATATATAAGATATTAATCCATAATAACACGAATAAAATATAAGGAGAATCATTTATATAAAATGACTGTTTCATAATCTGCTTATATTCTCAGATGTGAATTTATATCATTCGTTAGATTAATTCTTTAAATATGCATGAAACATCTGGTTCAAAGGTTATATAACGAATTAATCTAACGAATGATATAAATTCATAATCTGCTGGCAGTAACTTTCAATGTATATAGTCGAGGTTAATTTATGGAATGCATGAAACATCTGGTTCAAAGGTTAAGTTTGATATACTAACCGTGTGATCATCGCATCTAACTCTGACAGAAACCCTAGCTTTCTTCAAACGGGTTTGTTGTGAAACCTCATCATCTCTACTTCTCGTTGTCTTCAACGTCTTACTAGGCGGCCCTATCTCAGCCAGGTCGTCTTCCTTTGGGCCTCCAGAGCTATTATCGGTTGACTGATCAGCAGCCGGTTCAAATTTGCAGCCCAACTCCAGTGCAAGTCCAGCTCCATTCAGCATTCCATTATCATCATCATCATCTTTTCCATTTGTACTAGAACTCAGTTGACTAATCTTTTTTATCCGACCATCCTTTCTGGGCTGATCAATACTACTTGAGGTTCTCCCAAGACTAAGAGACACTAGGTCATCAGCTTCTTCAGTATTTTGCTTATGTGTAAGATCAAGAACAATACTACTACTAGTATCGGTACATTTCTTAGTATCTCCTCCATTTTGAAGAAGGCCATGAAAATGCATCCACAGAGACTGGTAATCCTTAGAGATTTGGGATAATAACAGCTTTAGCCTTTCGTTTTCTTCTGTAGCCTCTACCATTTCTGCTTTTGCTGATTGCAGCTCATCCTGCTAGGGCAACACAAAGGGAATATATTTACATAACGATATATTTAAGCAAAATTTGAATGTAAGACATCTCACCTTTAAATGAAAAAAATGTTAAAATGGAAAATTAACCAGTTATGATATACATTTAGCGGTAACGTTATGTTAAATAGGACTTGCTAAATTCTTGTGGGGACAGAGTTCAAAATGCAGAGATTTATTTTATTAATATCATTGCACATGTAAAAGTGCATCTATATCAGATGGAATCTATGTGAATTAAAAATAATATAACGTATATAATGTGTGTGTGTATATATTTGTGTAGAGAAGAATTATGCTAGGTTAGCTTTTTATCAACAATCGTGTGAGGCATCAATCTTTTTTCGAATGAGAAAAGGTCGTTGCATCTAGAAAAACTCCGTCCATCCTTCCTCCACTAGATTTTATTAATAATATGAAATGAAAAGTAAAAGGCTAGCCTAATACCCGCTAAAACCAATTAATGAAAGCGATATGTGAGCACACCATTTCATTCAGTGTCTTAAGATATATGATTCGATATCAGATGGAATCTACATCTATATATTGACTTGGTGGGCTGTGGTAGATTCATGATCATTAATTCGTAGGCTCTGATGATAAGTCAGATCTATCACATGATATTGATGATTGAGATATCATCGTAATATTGGATAAAACGCTATAAAATTCAAGTGCTATATAACATTAAAGCCACACCCATAAGTAAGATCAACTATAGTTGATAATAAAATAAAAAATTAAAACTAGATCAGCTTAACATATATAAATATAGAGAACATTTTAAGGTAAATTGATGTTTTCTATTTTACCATTCAAAAGGAAGAAATTACTATAACGCTAAAATTATCCACATCCGCTTAATTTCCTTGGTTCTTTCCCATTCTTTATCTAGTTTTACCTGTTTGTGGTTGACAAGGGCTCTATTTTTTCCAGTCGAAGGAGGCTCCAAGTCTGGTTCAACATGCCACCCATGTCCTCCCTGAATTATGATATATTCATGGGGATTGAGAGGAAGACAGATCAATAAAACCCAATATATACAGTACGAGAATTATTTTGTAGTATCATATCAGAAAAGAAAGAAGAATCAAAAACATCAGAAGACAGACACGGAGATAAACAGTGAAAAAAGGAAGATTAATTAATTAATTTCCCGCCGGCCTTCAGGGTGCAATATTCTTAATCTCATATTAATTACCAAACTTCATCAGCAATCCTGTTAGAATATATTTACTAAGCTAGCTTAACTCATATATATGTAATGATTATTTCATCAAATACCAATTTTTGGTATCTGGTCGATAATTGTAAAACAATTTTGAGCGATATCCCAACTCATAAATTCATCTTAAAGTTAAATTTTGAATATAAGATTTTAGACCAAAATAAGAACAGTCCAGAAAAGAAAAGGATAAGCGAATTTCATATATAATTGGAAAGGAAATATAAAATGTAGTAAATAATTAAATGAAATATTTTCACCTTGGCTATCTCCCTGGGAGTACCCTCTTCATGATCACCATCAGATTTCACAGTTTTGTCTTCCAAAACTGTTTTGCCAAGAGAAGACGTTGCCTCATGAGTATTATCGCTCTCCATTAATGCTTTTGAAGGCCTCTTTGGCATTTCCATGGCTGCAGTTTGGCTTCTTGTATGTGTACGGAGAGACATATAAAGCCTGCAGATTTTGACTGCGTCTGTATTCAATATATATCCATGCCAGTGCTTATCTATAATTTTAAATACACACACAAATAATATATATATATATATATATATATATATATATATATATCTGGGTGTGTGTGTGTGTGTTATTAGTTACTAAAGAAAAAGAAGCTAGCTCATTGAGATATGTCAACAACCCAAACACATTTTTTCAAGGAGCAGCCGGGTGCTAGCCAAATACCCCCCCGAAAGCAAGTCGATATTATAAGTTTAGACCACTTTTTTTTCCCAGTTTAAGTTTAGACCATTGTACTTATTTATAATAATTGATTAACTATGTATAAAGAAACGTAGCTAGTTAGCTAGCAAGCTAATAAAAATTAAATTCAATAGTTCGATTTTAATGAAACACTAACTTTACGAGATCATGCTTCAAATATCCGAAAAATTAAACTAAAAAGATGTAGAGGATCGTAATCTTTATCTTTGAATAATATATTCACACACTTTTTTTTTTTTTTAAATATGTGAATATATTATTTAAATTTTTTTTTTTTTTTTTTTTTTTTTTACTTTTTACATATTTTTCTTAATTTTTGAGAGTCACATTAAATAAATTGAATAACATAAAATGACAGAAACTAACATAAAATGTATATAAAAAAATGTGTAAATAACATTATTTTTTTTTTTTTACATGATCTATCAGTCATATTGAAAGATTTGCTTGCAATTGTGTGCAAAAAAGTCACACGACTACGTACCTATATTATTCTAGTCAAACTTCATCCGCCGTCATCAAACCTTTGACTCCAGTGACTTCCTTCAGATTTTCGGTGCATTTTCAGTGTAGAGATTTTTTTTTTACGCCATTATTGGTTCATAGTTGAAAGTTTTTCAAAACCAGGGGGGATGTTTATTTATTTTAAAACAAATATGTCACAGTTCACAACATAAAAAAATAAGGGTGGTCGACTACTGTGTAGAATTTTCTACATGCAGGTATATATATTGTGCTTATTATACGTGATCATGTTCAAAAACTTATTAAGTTGCGGACAGTATTTTTTGTGACAGATTCTTGTGCTAGTCAATTTTGAAATGACAAGCCAATTAGCTATGGTGAGCTATTAGGTTTTTTTTTAGAGTAATGCTAGGTAGATCATTTTTTAGATCAAATTTGTAAATCATATGATATGCCATCAATAAAAAATAAACATGTTAATCAACACTTTTGTAATAAGTTAAGTATCAATAATCATGTCATATAATTTTACAAAATTTAGTTTCAAAAATCGATCTCCTAGTATTATCCTTTGTAGGTCAACCAAGCAAAATGTTTTTTTTTTCCTTAACACATGATATCGTTAGTGAATTAAATTATTAGTTGTCAAATAAGATGAGGAGGATCGGTAACTGTACCAGAATATATAGACATAATTGATTTTCATCACGACATTAAAGCGTCATCTGTCGAAATGATTTTGTTATTGTGTTGTATTTTTTTTATATTAACACCACGGAGTGGGAAGATTTAGGCTGAGCCAGTAACCTGCAGTATTTAGTGACAAGGGTTGCATAGATCGATAATTTTTTTATTTATTTATTCAAGATAAAGTTTTGAAGATATATTGATAAATTTTGAGTTTTTTTTTTTTTTTTTTTTTTTTTTTTTTTTTAAGTGAAAGGTGAAGTTTGGGGGATAAATTTGAAGTCGGTGGCCCCAAGTGAAAATTCGAACTCGGACTATTGAGAGTTCCAAACATTTCTTTGTTTTCACACTTACACCAACCGTAAGATTTGAAATATGCAACGTGCCACCATCATAACATCAATAACTTGGGTTGCATCAACTAATTAATTTCCTTTATAAAAATAAGGCATATTTCTGTAACAATTTTTTTTTAAGTAATAAACCATTTTCTGACTTTTCGAAAGCCATGTAGTTGTCGAATGTCGACATAGTTGTCAACATAGAACATATATAATTATCAATTGGCCCTTGAAAACAAATTAATCCTCGGCGTATGATGAAAGCATATAAATACGATGAGCTTCCTCTTATTTTTGTATTAATTTCTTTGCTTAAATATTAAAGTCCTCGCTGTATGATGGACGCATCAAATTAATCCTTTGTAAATCAGTCGTTTACAAAGACTTCGATCTTTGGCCAAAGGTCATGAGTGAGTGAAAGAACAAACTTAAAGTTGGTGATTTTTATACCGTCCTTTTACTTCTCACAGATCTTTTAATCACTTGAACACAATTTTATATGTATATTTTTAATTAATTACCGTTTGAACGCTACTTATTATACATGTATGTGACCAAAAGAAGTTGGCCGGCAGCCACAATAAAAAATAGAAGATGATGAGTTTAGTACGGTTAACATGGAGAGACCCTTAGGCTCTTTCTTTTTATCCACATCATTGTAGAGATTTATAAGCCAAATTTAGTGGACTATTTATCGTTATTTAATTAGTAAACGAATAGTCCAAAACTGCAACTTTCATTACAAAAGACAAAGTAAAAAAAAAAAAAAAACAAACGACAGCAGCCAGCGAGGTATATACTATATCTTAATAACAGCAGCCGGCAGATGAAAATCAACCTAAAACTTAAGAACTTGTTTCATTAGCTTATCGACGATGACTTAATTAATTAAATCTAACTAACTTGTCTCACAGTACAAGCATTATCTTATTAATTCTGGCTTTAGAAGTCTGATAAACAAGATTACAAATATATCTAATTAAGAAAAATAACAACTGGTAATTAAATATAAAACTAAAAAAAATAGGGTCAAGGGTGTTGTACATGTTGACAGCTCAAGCCAACGGGTTTGATGGTTCACAGGGCACACATGATTAAGGAGCCACTCACTAATGAATCTCAAGAAACAGATTTTTATTTTTAGGTATAAGAAATTTTTGAAACTTTTTTATATAAGATTCTTAATTAGTAAATAAATCAAGTAGTTGTTATTGTATAAACTTAGGTCAATGGATGCTGATGATCATTCAAGTATTTGAAACTAAATTAACCATATCTCTATATATACACATTGAATAATTTAACAGATTGACCTCTAGTAATATAATAAGATTACAGTTATAGAAAATTGCCAATGGGATTGGAAATATTCTTAATTAATGACGTGAATCATCTACTTAATCACTTGTGTCTGTTTAATTAGATAAATCTTAATCTAGCAAACTTCCATAAGTCTACTTTATGCCAAAATTCATATTTTAAATTTTTGGAGAAAAAAAGTTATGTTGATGATCATTTAGCTAATTGGAACTACAATATAGATATGAGGGTTTGCATTTTTCATGATCCTTCCAATATAGATCCGAGGGTTTGCATCTTTCATGATCCTTCCAATATAGATCCGAGGGTTTGCATCTTTCATGATCCTTCTATGTGGATTGGGATGGTGTTGACGGATGGTTGCTTAGGGATCTCCTAAGGCTCGTTTTGTCTGTCCGTGTGTTTCTTAGTTTTGTTTGGGGTTTTTGACCCCCTTATTTTACAATTTACACACACAAAAAAAAAAAAAAAAATCATATTATGATGAAATTGGTCTATCCATTGTCATGTCAGTCAACGTTCAACTATATAATTGAATCGTATCACGTATAAATTAAAATCAAAATATCTAAAAGTTAAAACAACAATATATTAGTTTTTGAGGTAGTGGTATAATAAATTGATATTTGTTTGTAGCTACTTGGAGGATATTTAAAGTCGGGATCACAAATCAAAAATAATATTAATAGTGATTTCGATACATTTGTAGTTACTTTGAGGATATTTCAAGTTCAGATCACAAATCACAAATAATGTTTACAGTGATTTCGACATTTGTAGTTACTTGAAGAATATTTCAAGTTCGGGTCACAAATCACAAATAATATTTATAGTGATTGCGATACATTTGTGGCTAGCTCACTGTAGTAGTACGTGAGTTATATTTATTTTGTAAGTTTTTTTCTTTAAAAGTAAATATTTAATAAAGTAGGTTAGCAATCGGATTAATCTAAAGAGGGACCAACAAATTTGTCTTTCTTGTCTAATGAATTATCACATAATTGCATGACGTTTTGTGGAGTGGGCGATTTAAAATAATATATTAATCAGTCGAGTTGGATCATGTATAAAGAATACAGCCAATTATAAATTATTAGAAAATTAACTAGTAACAAAGCCCCAACCTCTTTTCTGCAAGAAATCAGAATAAAGTGCTGCACCGAAAATTTATGGATACACACATGCCAATTGTTTCTTCCATTTGTTTACAAAATGATTTATAACATTTAAATTATTTCCATAGGATGAAATGTATCGCTTTTTTTATGTACTAAAATCTCAAGGCTAGGGTTTCTTAGATGAATTGGGACTCATGGGTTACTCTGAAATATAAAGGTATATACTCTATCCATATCGGAAGGGCACGAAACTTGCTTATAAGAAGTTAGACTACTTCATTTAAGCCAATTAATTTAGAGTAGAACTTCTTTCTTTAATACCATTATATTTACAAAGAACTTAAATTTTGTTTTTTAGGTCAATTTTAACAAAAACCATCATATGGAACATTCAAAACTGATACGTGATGTGCTTAAATTTTGGGGTTAAAGTGATGCATGGCTTATAACAAGATAAATATATGGAAGGGAAATGTGGATGCACCCTCATCCTCATGAGTCTTAAAATAATACACACGTTAATGACTAAATAACACGTGCAAATGTAGCCACTCAGTCATTGTCAGAGCACCCTAAGATTAGGGTAGGCTCGGGCCTATCCTCAAATTATTTTTTCCTAACAACCTCTATTATCATTAATTAATTTTAATAATACCATTATCAACTTGAATTTGTAATTGTATTGGTTAGTCCAATTAACTTCAATCCAACAAATACAAAGCCTTAAATTTTTTACATTAAAGGTTCGAAACTATAGTTCTAGACTAATATTAGTTGATCATATCTTTTGTTTCCTGCCTATATATAATTTTTCCCTTTGCTTGCAGACTATTATGTTAATTTCTCATTTCCCTCTATTTATATTATCTATGAAATCAAGAGGAGAAAAATATTTCCTTTTTCCAAATTAGCCCATAAGAGAAATAGTCCTATAGATGAATTAGTCACTCATGGGTTGCCCTGAAATGTAAGGGAATATACTCTGTCCATATCGAAAGGGCAAGAAACTTGCTTATAACAAGTTAGACTACTTCATGAACGTTCACCTTCTTCAATACTGTTGTATTTGCAAAGAACTTAATTTTTGTTTTTTTAGGTCAATTTAAAAAAAAAAAAAAAAAAAAAACCATCATAAGAAACATTCAAAACCGATACCTGATGTGCTTAAAATTTGGGGCTAAAGTGATGCATGGCTTATAGCAGGACAAAAGATATGGAGGGAAAATGTGGGTGCACCCTCGTCCTCATGAGTCTTAAAACAATACACACGTTAATGACTAAATAACACGTGCAAATGTAGTCACTTAATACCACGGTTTGGTGGTTAATTCAAAACACATGCAAATGTAAATTTTGTTGTCTTCAAAATTAAAAAAGGAGTTGTTATAACGAAATTCATTATTACCACCTTAACAAAAAAACTTGAAAATAAAATAAAACGTCCGTGATAGTGTATAATTCAAAACGATACTCCCCAGTGGGGCCCTAGGAGGTAAAATGGTTAGACCACTAACGTTACAATGGTGTGTTGATGCAGGGGCAGGGTTCCAACCTTTTATGGCTTGTAAATTTGTGCTCCTATAGACTATCTCAATAACTCTATACTTCTCCACCTGAGCAAACAAATAAAATGGATTAAAGATTACCAAAAAAGTAAAATAAAATAAAAAATAAATAAATAAAACTAGATGGAACGATGAATATACAAAAGTTTAAATTGATGAACTAATCAAATTAAGTACGGTAACATATCAATGATATATTATGATTTCAGGAAATTAAATTCGTAAATTTATGATTTCAGAATTTTGTAAATTCACAATTTCATCCGATATTCCTAAAAATAAAAGAGATAGTACAAAATAATGTTTTACATACCAACATTTCTACATAAGGATCATATTGTCGATAATACGCAGGGCTTTTGTTAATATTAACCTAAAAAGAAGAAAAATTAGTAAATTACCATGAATTTTTCATTAAAATTCTCTATTAGTTATTATATTATTGGGTCAGCCCAATAAACAAAATAGTCTAGACGTTTCCCCTTCCAGCCTCCTGCTTCCCTATATAAATAATTAATAATCACTTGTTATAGGATAAAAATGGCAGGTTTTGATTTGACGTATGCTGCATGCTGAAAATGATGCCGCTACTTCACACCATAAGAAGAAGACCTGCTACCCGAGTACCTATGGAATAAAATAATAGGAAACCCATGTCTAGTGCAATTTCCGAGATATCGTTGGGAGGGCAGGCTCCGTGTCCTTTGATGATTCCTCTAGGTAAACAAAAATAAACTACAACATCATACTATTTTTTGTTATTATTTAATTAACTCATGAATTCCTATTTTATTAGAGTTGTTCAAGTTTGGAGTTCTGAAGAATACTGGGTATTTCTATATCCTGCCCGAGGCTGGGATTGAAGTAGCAAGCGTAAGGCGTGCTATTCTGGGCTCTGGAAGCTTGCAGGTGAACGGATTGTGCAACAACAGAGTATTACAGTAGGTCATGCCAAAGAATGAGATTATCATATGTTTGGGGCGCCTCCAGATCTGGAACCCACCGCATTTTGAATGACCAAATATCGCTTGCTTCCAAAGGAACAATGGCCAAATCCAAGTGGTTTTCGGTCATTCGAAATGCGGATTCCAGACCAGAGGCGCCCCAAACATATGATAATCCCATTCTTTGGCATGACCTACTGTAAAACTACGTTGTTGCATAGTTCGTTCAACCGCAAGCTTCCAGAGCCCAAAATAGCACGGCCTTACGCTTGCCTCTTCAATCCCAGCCTCGGGCAGGATATAGAAATATCCAATATTCTTTAGGACTCCAAACTTGAACAACTCTAATAAAATAGGAATTCATGAGTTAATTAAATAATAACAAAAAATAGTATGATGTTGTAGTTTATTTTTGTTTACCTAGAGGAATCATCAAAGGACACGGAGCCTGCCCTCCCAACGATATCTCGGAAATTGCGCCTGTCACTGGACATGGCTTTCCTATTATTTTATTGCATAAGTAATCCGCTAGCAGGTCTTTTTCATATGATGTGAAGGAGGTGGCTTTGCTGGCGGTTCGACAGTCAATCCTGGTGGTGGCTTGACTTTGGTGGTGGTTCTGCTGTGTCTCAAGGTGGTGCCTTTGCTCGTGGTGGAGGTGGGGTGGCGTTTCTGCTTTGTATCAAGGTGGTGGAGGTGTCAATGAAGGAGTTGGCTTTGCTGGCGGTTCGACAGTCAATCCAGGTGGTGGCCGTAATATCAGGCGTAGATAGGTATATTTTGATGCTTATTTTAATATTCAGTCAATTCTGTATTCGAGAGCAATGATCACTGTTAGATTGTTGTAGATAAATGGAGCTATGAATTTTCCAAGCATTTAACTTTCTGTATTTGAAAGCAACGATCACCGTTAGATTGCTGTAATGAAATGAACCCATGAATTTTCCAAACAGTTACTTTTAGGTAATCGGGAGGATTCAATTCGTACTAGATTGAAAAGACAAAAAAAAGGAAATTATCCTTTTTCTGCGTTCACGAAGTGTTTCTCTCCCACGTCTAATTCGTACTCGAAAGGCTAACACGTTTCGCACACGCGCGGCACGAATAGGTTATACTTTTATCTCCTGTTTTGCACACGCGCGTCACGACCACGAATCAAGTTGCTTTCATAGCAATCATGTGTGTCGTTCCATCGAAATGAAATGGAGTGCCTTTCTCTCTCTTCAGCCACTGCCAAAACTTTGGGTCAACAAACTGAAATATTCCACTGACAACGTGGACCCCCTAGGTAATAATAAACTAGTATATAGGTAGACACAAAATGTGTGAGAAATTTTTTTATTTTTGTTTTTGAAATAAAAGGAGAGAGTAAGAGAGTAACAGATAATGTGGAAATCGGTAGTTTTTTTTTTAATTTTTTAATTTTATTTTTTATATATATATAATTAGATATATGTTAATATCACATGTAGCTGAGACTTTGAAAAAAAAAAAAAACAAAATTTGGTTGTGTGAAATTACATTTCTACCCTATATTTCTTATTCATGTTCTATTTTAATCAGAAGGTTAAACTAGTAATTTCATAAAATTTTGGTCAGCGATGAGTGTTTTATTAATTAGTAGAGATAATTGCTCATTACAAAAGGTGGCGGTATTTACCGCATCAGCTTTTGATGGGACTGATAACCGTACTTAGTTAGGACTTGGATTGTCTACCCTCCCTATCTCATACCCTTCCCATCCCTTCCTATATTCTATTGTCACGATTAAACCACGTCAACATTTTATATTCCCATTGTTTTTTGTTTTATTATTTCTATAAAAAAATCAATATAAAATGTTGACATGGCTTAACTGTGACCATATAAATAAGAGGAGATGAGAAGGGTATGGGATGGGGAGGGCAAACAATCCAAGTCCACTTAGTTATCTAACATTTAGTACATCATCTATATGATAGGGCGACTTATCTATAATTCTTAATGGAGTGAGTTACAAGTATGTATATTTTTAGAGTAGGTATACTGCAACGACGTTGTAGGTGCTTGAGTACGATGATAGATTTTTCAGTGTGATCGACACACAGAGTAGCACACTACATGTCATTATACAAATGGTGGGATATATGTGTTAAAAAGTTACTAACTTCACTTTGGATGCGGTCCCTAACTGATAACAGTTCTGCAAGAATGCAAAAGAACCCAGAAGAACAGAGAAAAGCTAAGAAACAATTGAGAGAAAACAAGAGAGAGAAATGAAATCTTTTATATTGATGATTCTGAATGAATACAATTGCATAGCTAAGATTGTTATATATACTTTCTCAAGAATTCGTAGCTAAGCTACTAATCTAACTATATAACTGACTTCTAACAAATCAGTCTAACAACCCTGTTGACATGGCACTCCAATCACTATCTACTTATGCTAACATGGCACTTCATTCAACACTAACTACCAATGTTCTCTGACTAAAACCTTGGTGGTTTTTAGTTTTTGATCAAAGTCTCTGACATTAATGTAATAATGTATTTCTACGTAGGTTATTATATTTTTAAATTAAAAATGAAATTTGTAGTTATTTATATTAATGAGATTTTAAATAGAACCCATAATTTATGGGATTAAAAAAAATTAAAGATGAACTATACTCTCCAATATATTTTGTGTGTGTGTGTGTACATGTGTACATACGTTCATCAAAACTGGCCAAAAAATTATTGTACCAAAGTATGGATACATTTTTCAAAAGCACAAAAAAAAGATATTAGGCATAATAACATTATTAAATTTCTTCTATTAAACTTGACATGGAATCAATGAAATAGAATGTACCCATATAAGTTTAAAAAATGGATTAGAGAAAAGATTGGATGAAACTTTATATAAATAATGGGGACATTTTAAATTAAAAAATGGTACATTTTTAACAAATTGATATATTTAAGAATGGATACAAATAAGATTAAAAAAATTTAATGGGTACAAACTTATTCTAATTTTATTTTTTATATTTGGGAAATGTTTGAATTGAAAATTATTTAGGAGTTTAATAAGGATGTGAGTATTAAAACTCTAAATTAATTACTAATTTTTTTATAAAAATTATGTAACTTACATGTAATTCATTAATATATTAATGTTAGGAACATTGATCAAAATCTAAAAACTGATAAGGTCTTAGTCAATAAACATTATAAACTAGAGACCAGAAACTAATTTTTCCAAAAATAAAATTTCTCACTACTTATATAAAAACACGTGGTATACAGTTTGTGTTTCCGTCGTAATGAAAAAATTTGTGGAGTACGATACATAGAGAGTAGGTGACGGAAGGTATATCAAGATGAAACATGATCTATTGCTGCCTGCGCACGAAACTTTTAAGCCTATTTTGCGATATGATGATGAGACGCAGGAAGGGGTGGTGGAGTAAAATGATATACAACTACCGGAGGATGGAGAAGATATATTGTTGATAGGTGCTTTCAAGTTGATGAAGCATGCACGCGTAATCATTAGCATGCTGCTAAGTAAGTTTGGCGGTCAAACGAAGAATGGATCTTACTCCGTCAGGTCTGGCAACAGAGTAACGCAGGATCTTAATCGCAACAGTGAATTAGGGAGGAAAGGTATGGACGAATCGATTGCAGGGCAAGAAGAAAATAATTTGTGGTCAGCTGTCTAGAAACTTGATGCTCCCCATAAGTTGCGCGGTGCAGCAAGAATATTTTGGCAGTTAGGGTCAACCGCAAGCGACGAGGAATACGACTTGAAACATCTTGTCCTAACTGCGGTGCAGGGGAGGAGTCGCAGTGTCATGTGTTTTTTCAGTGCCCGTATGCGAAAGCCTTTTGGGTTGGGAGTCCAGTCCAGCTTGATTCTAATACGGTGCAGCGAGTGGATTTTCTTGAGTGCTAACAGTGGCTTCTCAAACGCTATTTGCAGGAGATGGAAGTTCATGAGCTCATACGGTGGATATATAATGTTTGGTTTGTGGAGGCTTTGGAAGCGTAGGAATAGTTTGGCTGTTGAGATAAAAAGTGTCCAACTCATGGATACAGTGATGATGCTGCACAACAATAGGGATAATTTGAAGATACAAAACCAAGGCAAGAGGTGCTGGTCAGATACGGAGCTACCTTTGTTTATTTTTTTTGTTTATTTTTTCTCCATTAATTTTCTGTTAATTTATTCAATTCCTTGGTTCTGGTGGGTCAAGTGCGACGTCCTGTTCAGGTTGCGACTTTTGGTCCTATCTGCTGGAAGCGACCACCTTGTAGCGTTATGAAGGTGAACTGTGAAGGAGCGTGGCGAAGGGCGACTAGGAAAGGTGGTTTTGGATGGGTGGCCAGGGATTTTGCAGGCATATTCTATCCGGGGGCTGGTGACTTTGGAAGCTTCGTCGACGAATCAAGTATAACGCTGGAGGTTGAAGCGGTAAAGTGCTTTTATCTTGGTATGTGTAGAGAAAGGTTTTTTTAGGTTCACGTTGGAATCAGGTTCTAGGTGTCTTGTGGGCATGATTAATGGTCCAATGCAACCTGACGCTATGCATGAAGGTCTCTTATATGTTTACAAAAGAAATTGATGAGGCGTAGAGGTTTTCTTTTGCTCCTAGCGTTTGTAATAGGGCAACACATCTTGTCGTTTCTTTTGTTTCTAGGAAAGATGATCTTTATAGATGAAATCATTTTGAGCCGAAATGGTTGTATTCTTCGGGCCCTGATATAAATGTTTCCTTCAAAATTAATAAAATTTTCTATCGTTTGAAAAGAATTATATGTATATACTTTTATTCTTAATTTAAATGTACATAGGCTTTTGGGGTAAGTCCCCTCAACCAGGACGTCATAAAACAAACTAATCCCATCTTGCTTTTGGTTAGATAATCACATATTTGACCATAACATAGATGTGATTTGTAACATTTTTTTTTAGTTTAATTTGAGATAATTCATTTAACCCAAGAGTGTGCGTTGGTAAGTTATGGCCAATCTTGAGCCTTTCGTTGCAGTTCTCCTCTTTTAGATTTGTAACCTATTCTATTCTATTGAAGGTACTAATTATAAGGTCCAGAATATATATTTTCATTTTTATTATAAATGGCAAAACGGGCATAAGAAAAGATCAATTAGACGTAAACTTTTAAGAAAATGTACCTAGGTTCAATTCGAAAGAAGCTGCAAGTCGCCAATGGTGGAAAGTGTTGAGTCCTTGTACGACGGCGGTTCGAACCCCTTAGGTAAGTAATTTAACATCTAATCTAATGAAATCTATCGTTTAACAAAAAAAATTCGAAAGAAGCTGAATTTTTTGGACCTAGATCTAAATGCACCATTTTTCAATTAGACCATCTCCGATGTATTTGGCCAAAGCCTAAAACTGAGACCATGGAATTTAGACTCCGGATCCCAAAACAATTTTACATCCTCTAATTTTGAAAGATAAAATATTCTCTAATATTAGAAAACTAGAAGACAACTTTGGTGTCTCAAGGCTTCACCAAAAAAATTTAGACTAAAATAACCCTCAAACAAAATGTCTAAAACTGAATGAAAATAATGCAATCAAAATAGCAGGGGTACTTTTGTCAAAAAAACATAAATTTATAATTAATTTTATTGAAAAAATAAAAAACATTAAAAAAAATAAGAAAAAAGAACATGGTAATCCCATCGTCTCTCAAGATTATGTTTTCCACTTCTATAAACAAAAAGGTAAACCATCGTCTCTGAATTGTATGCATGTCAGCCTTGCAAACGATCAATTGCTCAAATTTCGTTTTGTTTCTAATTAATTTTGAATGGGTGATAAGTGTAAACCAAGAAGCAGTTCATCATTAGGGTTTATAGAGAGAGAGCGAGAGAGAGAAGTCTAGAGAGAAATGTAAAGTGAGAGAGAAAGATATTTCTTATTACTTTTCTTGATCAATACATTATTCTCCTTAGAGGGTATTTATACAAGAACATTCTTACACTTGCATATGCTTGCTAACTATAACTAACTCTCTTAATCTGATTACAAGTGTCACAATCCTATTTGTTCATTTAACTCTATCATCTCCCCTCAAACTCATGATTGGGAGAAATACCAAGCATGAGATTGTTACAATGAGTGTGAAAGAGGGGTGCACTGAGACCTTTAGTAAGGATGTCTGCAAACTGTTCACGAGAAGAGACAAACTGCACAAGCAACTGCTGTTTAGCAATCCGTTCACGAACAAAATGAACATCAACTTCAATATGCTTGGTCTTTTGATGTTGAACCGGATTAAAGGACAGAGCAATGGCAGACAAATTATCACAGAAAAGCACAGGAACACAAGACATCTGAATTTTCAGGAATGTAAGAAGTTGTTGAATCCAATCAAGTTCAGCGGCAGTAGAGGACATGGCGCGATATTCTGCTTCAGTGGACGATCGAGACACTGTTTGTTGTTTCTTAGAAGACCAGGAAATTGGATTGGAGCCGAAGAAAATAACCAACCCTGTGGTAGAACGTCTGTCATTAGGATCGCCAGCCCAGTCAGCATCACTGAAGGCCTTTAAACCAGCTTCACCAGCAGCATATGTAAGACCAGAAGACAAAGTGCCTTTCAAATAACGCAAAATGCGTTTGACAGCAGTATAGTGAGAGACCATAGGGTGTTGCATAAACTGGGACACTTGATGGACGGAGAAGGCAATGTCTGGGCGAGTAAAAGTGAGGTACTGCAGAGCACCAACTATGCTTCTGTATGTACCTGGTTCTGAGAACGGAATCCCATCATTCTTCATCAACCGAGTATATGGCAGACAGGGAGTATCACAAGGTTTACAATCACTCATGTCTGTCTTGTGCAAAAGTTCTTGAATGTACTTAGTTTGGGACAAAAACAACCCAGTGGCTGTTCGAGATATTTGGATCCCCAAAAAATAATGCAGTGTACCCAAATCCTTGATATCAAATTCAGTAGTAAGAGACTGAATGACATGATGTATGGCATCTGTAGCATTCCCAGTTAAGATGATGTCATCCACATAAAGAAGTAAAATCACAATCTCGGAACCAACATACTTCACAAATAGAGAGGAATCAGAATATGTAGTGTGGAACCCAAGAGAAGGAAGGAAAGATGTGAATCGCTCATTCCAGGCCCGTGGAGCTTGCTTTAACCCATACAACGATTTATGTAACCTGCAAACGAAATGAGGATGCACAGAGTCTGTAAACCCAGGTGGTTGTGCCATGTAAACCTCTTCCTTCAGAATGCCATGTAGAAAGGCATTTTTTACATCCAGTTGCCTTAAAGGCCAATGAAACTGAGCAGCTAAAGCCAAGACGAGTCGGACTGTGGTAGGCTTAACCACAGGACTGAAAGTCTCTCCATAATCTAAGCCTTCCTCTTGACTGAATCCCTTGGCAACTAACCTAGCTTTATGGCGAGCAATAGACCCATCAGAATTCTTCTTGATTTTAAAGATCCATTTACATCCTACTAAGTTTTTCTGAGATGGAAGTGAGACTAGAGACCAAGTACCTTGAGAATGAAGAGCAGCAATCTCTTCCTGCATAGCAGTCAACCACACAGACGATTTCATAGCAGACTTATAAGTAACCGGTTCAATCAGTGACAGATCAAGATCTCCAGAAGTCTTGGATTCTACCAAAGTACTCAGGAAAGCCTTGGGTTTGACTATCCCACTCTTACTCCTGGTCTGCATATGGTGCATATTCAAGGGTGCAATAGGTAACACCACTTGTAAACTCACGGGACTAAACTCAGGGTCCACAGGAAGAGGAGAATTATCATTTGGTGGAGCAGTAATGGAGGGAGAGGGAACACCGGGACTGGAGACAGGGACATTAGACTCGGAAGTGTGAATCACAGATGGTGAAATGGAGGAAGGAGTCTGAGGAATAGGCACCATCAAAATATTCTGATGAGTAGAGACTGGGGTAAGAACTGAAGACTGAGACGGGATAGGAGACAAACTGGAATGTTTGGACAGGTGAAGGAGACTGAGATAAGGAAATTCAGTCTCATCAAAGACAACATGACGGGAAACAAAAAAAACGCTCTTTTAACACTTCATAACAGAGATATCCCTTATAATTAGAAGCATACCCCAGAAAAACACATTTGGTTGTCTTAGCTTGAAGTTTAGATGTGTTGTAGGGTCGAAGTAAAGGATAACAAGAACATCCAAATACCCTCAGATGGGTAATGACAGGAGGATGACCATATAATGCTTGAAATGGAGACTGATTATGTAAGACTGGTGTTGGCATCCGATTAATTAAGTAAATGGATGTTTGACAAGCAAAGGTCCAGAATTTAGAAGGAAGATTGGCATATTGTAACAAGGTGACTGTAGTTTCAATGATATGTCTATGTTTCCTCTCGGCTAACCCATTCTGTTCAGGTGTGTAGGGACACGATTTATGATGTACAATTCCTTTAGAGTGCAGAAATGTTTTGAGCTTAGTGCTAATGTACTCACCCCCCCCATCAGTTTGAAGTATTTTCACAGAAGAGGAGAACTGAGTTGAGACAAAGGCACAAAAGGTAACAAACACATTATAGAAATCAGACTTATTGTATAGAGGAAATAACCAACAAAAACGAGTGCACTCATCAATGAGAGTAACATAGTATTTATAACCATCGATGGAATTACATGGTGCAGGACCCCAAAGGTCACTGTGAACAATTTCAAATGGTAGGACAGACTTGACATGTGTAGAAGGAAAAGGCAACTTTGTAAACTTGCCCTCGAGACAACTTTGACAAACAGAGGAAACAACATCCTTATTACAAGAAATATTGGCTTGATTAAGTAGGAGGGAAACAATATGATTGGATGGATGTCCTAACCGAGTATGCCATAAGTTGGAACTCACAAGCTTTCCAAGATAAGCAACAGATGAAGAGGTAGAAGGTGGACAGAGAACGGAACAGGTAGAGAGGGAGCGAATAGGATAGAGTCCATTACTGCAAGGGCCCTTGTACATGATTCTCCCTGTGGCCTTGTCCTGAATCCAGAAATAAAATGCATCAAAGATTAGCCAGCAATTGTTATCCACACAGATCTTATGAACTGACAATAAATTCTGTGTCAATTTAGGAACATAAAGAAGGGAATTTAATTTGATAGGACTGTGAGAAGTAGGAAGTATAGAACTGCCCATGTAAGAAACTCTCAAACCTTCACCATTGGCAGTTTGAACAACTTCATTGCTGGGATATGGTGAAGCTATGGACAGATTGTTAAGATCAGCTGTCATATGATTAGTAGCCCCAGAATCTGTCAACCATACTTGTGGTGACTGAGAGGTAGAAGCAACAGACCCCACGTGTGAAGGCTGAGAGGATGGAGAAAAAACAGTATGCATAGCCTGTACTGAAGAAGGTTGAGACCCAGTGAACACATGAGGACTATTGTATGAGTAACCCTGCATAGGAGCACCTGCCCGCTGAGAAAAGTGAGGTCCCATATAAGAAGGTCCTTTTTCATTGTGAAAACAATACCAAGTTGTATGATTGAATTTGCCACAAATTTGACATTGTTGTCTATCAGACGACTTATTGGAACAATAAGGGGCAGTGTGACCTTCAGCATTACACAATTGACACGTCTGCAAAGGAGGTGCTGATGGATTCCCAAACTGACCAGGAAAAGAACCAAGGACACCAGGAGTAGGGGTAGGCAAAACATGGGATTGAGTATGATACACTGGCCGAGGAGTGTAGTATCGTTGTCCTCCATTGAATTTGCCTTTACCTCTGTGCT